GAATGTACCCCACTACTTGAAATCAAATGAAACCGTCCGCCGGTCTTTCGAAGTTCGACGAACGTCGAACTTTTACCCTAAAAGTTCGAAGGTCGTCGAACTTCTGACTTTTCAGAATTCGAAAGTTCGAAACTTTTCGAATTCTCTTGATAAGTAAGTTCGAAAGTTCGAAATTCATCGAATTTTTTGGTCTGTCAAGTTCTAAAGTTCGACAAGCATCGAACCTTGCAGCACAATAAGTTCGAAAGTTCGAAAAAGATCGAATTTTTTAGCGTAATAAGTTCGACGGTTCGAAAAGCGTCGAACTTCTTAGCTTAACAAGTTCGAAAATTCGACCTCCGTCGAATTTTACGATATAGACAATCCGAAAAATCGAAATCTTTCGAACCTTTCGAACCGCTTGATTCGATCATCGAAACTTCGATTCGAAAAAAGTTCGCGGCATCCCTAATTACTACCAGCGTGCGAGAGGGTAGGGAGGCAGTTTGCCGGGATCGCTTCAAGGTTTTTCTTAAGGCCCGTTCACACTCTTGCGCCTGCTTGCGACCTCTTAAACCTGGGTTCCTTAAAACTTCTTAAACCAGAAAACACACTGGCGCCATCTATTGGGAAGCAGTGTAAACTCGGCGGTCCGGCATATTTTTTTTTTATTTCTCGCCCATTATCTTTTCTTTTTTGGCTCGAAAAACCTTTGTCAATGTTATAAACGAGCCTTTCTATGGGTATTACGCACATTTGACCTCGGAAATCCCGCAAAACCTTCGCTTTTGTAAAATGCAGTTCTAGGGTCACCGCATAGATGGCGCCACAATGTCAGTGTGTTCCCTCGTCTCTCTCAAGGCCCATTCACACTCTTGCGACCGAGTACCATGCAAGTAAAAGTATGATCTCTTTTAGTTCAGTTTTACTACTTTCTCAGACGTTTGACCTGCTGCCTTGCCTGTCGGATTTCGCTAAAATCAATGTATCCACAGCTGCTAGTCCTTTTTTTTTTTTTTGCTTGTTTTATTTTATTTTTTTTAATTGCTACAACTGCAGTTTTTATTAGTCCTAAATAGGCTTCTCTTGCTATTGAAAGGAATCATAGCAAGAGCGTTATTTGAAAGCAGATAAAATTGTAAACGCTGGGGAAAGGATGCTTGTTTCGGCTCCGCTTGTGTGAAAGCCATACTGATGCTGTTAGCTTGGTTTCCTTTTAATGAACATTACGAAATGATTGCATTAGCGCGTTAACTTGCGTTGATCTTTTTTTTCTTCCCGGTGTTTCGATTGAACAGGTGGGACTAACAGTAAAAGCGTGTAAGGCGCAGTAGTGCAAGTGGATGATTTCCAAAAAAGGATCACAGTTCAAAAGTAAAACACGTGCAAAATACAGAAAAAAAAAAAAAAAAAAAAGAAGTCCCTAGCGCGATTTGAACCCGGAACTTTCACGCCGCGACGACAAGTACCGGCGCTTTAACCTCTCGACCACAACAGAAGGCGCGAGGCGCGGCGCCGGCAGAGGTATCTAAAAATACTGCTACCGCTTTTATCTCGTGTGGTTTTCTCTTTATTTTGGCTCCTATTTGCCCTCCCTGGCCGTAACTTTACCTGCCGCACCTACAGTATAAAGGGGCGGTCAATTAGATTCCAGTTGAAAGTCCCTCCAATCAGTTTCTGCGAGCGAAATTAGGCTTTTGTGCTTGAAGCGATGCGGATCTCTCCGCCATTATTCAAACATAGCGTGCAATGTAGTCAAAGCTAGCGCGCCGGTTCGCACAGCCGACCGCGACTACGTTCAGTCCACAAAATAGTGCGGCCCCTGAAAAAAAAAAAAAAAAAAAAGTCGAAAAGTGTACATTTTTGGAGCTAGTAACTAATAGTGGCGTTATGATTTCGAGGGAACACCAATTCTTTTTCAATAAAAAGGAAAATATAATGTAAACTACTCCAAATTATTTTCCGTTTTCGTTCGTGCGGCACTCGCACTCGCTTCGGGTTTTCGGGTTGTGCGGCTGCCCCCCTGCCTCGCCGGTTTCGTGAAGGTGGCGTCTTACGCGGGAAGCTTTCTTTTCCTGCTCGGATATTTTCGAAGATTCGTTGTGTGAAGATCTCGCAAAAGTGCAAGCAGGTGATCGCCAACGTGTACGCGAGTTCAAGAACGTGTTTCCCGGAGACGTCGGTCCGTGAGGTCCTGGAGACGGTCAGTAACGGCACCGGAGTGTCTGGCAAGGTGGCGTCCCCGAAGCGAAGACCTCGCAACGTGAAAGTTCGAGCACGCGGACAGTGTTGTGAACTGCCACCTGTTATTTCTGGTGTTGAAATCGGCCTTATGGCTTCAAAGTGAAACAAGCCTCAAGAAGGAACTGTGTCGGTGATGAATCGTGCCTACGGCTCCGTCTGCTTGCGGGACCTTACAGCAGGCGGTGCCCGTGATTGCATTCCGAAGTGTCTGGGTTCTTCTGCCTGCGGGACCGTAACCATGGTCGGCTCCGTCTGCCTGAGGCACCTTAACCTTGGTCGGCTAAGTAAACGACGCACATGCCCGTGCCTGTATTCCGAGGCCCCTGCTCTCCTCGAAAAGGAAACACTCGATCCTGATCTCGAGTGCCGTGTGTTGTGTACGCGTCTATTGTGAATCACTCCCGGTTCATGTGGGCGCCGGCACCAGAGCACCGAGATACTGCCGTCTGGATGACTTCTTCCATACACCGGCGAGTATTCCGACTCTGAAGGAAACTTCCATGAAGTCACATCACGTGAGGGAATGCCAAGCCGTCTGAACAATGGCAGTGCGGTCCCCTAATCACAATATTCGTTATATAAAGGACCGTCCACCACACTCTCAAGGTACTCTCTGATTTTCACGCCACCATGTAAATAAACGGCTTTAAATAGAGACGCCCTGGATCTCGACCGTTCTTCCGTTTCGACGAGGCCGGCGCAAGTTCGAGCGGAACACCAGCCCCTAGTCTACCTTCTTATAAATAAAAATCAACAAGAAAAGAGGAATTGAAATATGCACTTCCGCAATACGCAGAATCTTGCACAAAAAATCGGTCAAGAAAAAAAAAAAAAAAAAAAAAAAAAAACCTTTGCGCTTTAAGTGGATTCGAACCACCGCCACCGAGATGTCGGCATCGCCGGAGCAGCGCCTTGTACCGCTCGTCCACGAAATCTCGCGGAGTAACACAATTTTGTGTTTTTTCATGCGCACTACTTCAGTAGCTTTCCCAGCGTTGCACGCGATGTTTGAAACGGAGTATAGGTACTTCCTTGTCCCCATGGAGCTGATCACGTGACGTAAAAATCCCTCCTGGCCGCGGCCGCGTCCGCAGCCGCAAGATGAGCAAACCGGCCCAGGTTTAAGAGGTCGCAAGCAGTCGCAAGAGTGTGAACGGGCCTTTAGCCTCAACCACCTGCCTGGCCCTGGCCGTTTCGAACTGAATGATAAACAGTGCGTTCGTGTGATCACTACTTCGTGATGCACGTTAATGACCCCCCCGGGCTCGTGGTCACAATTACTGAGCCATGGTCACACGGCACACTGCACTGGCAAATATTCCAGAACATCCGGGACACTCGTCTCATTTAATTGCCTGACCAACGTCGCGCAGTCAAAATATCACACCTGAACTTTTCTAAACCTGATTCAGTGAAAAGCAGTGAGGCATAAAAACGTTATTTGAAACTGAAACTGGCGGAACATGAAAACCGGACTTTGAACTTTGCGCACTTGGACGTAAAAGAAATTCAAAACCCAAGTTTTTTTCTTTTATTTCTAAAAAAGATGGGAAACCTTCGAACCTTATGTAAAAAGAAATTCGAAATATTCGAATTGATCAAACTTTATGTATACAAGAATTCGAAACGTTAGAATTTCAGATTTAAAGAAATTCAAAACATTCGAATCTCTCGACTTTCAAGTTAGGAAAGTTCGAAATCTTCGCATTCCTCGACTCTCAAGGAAGAAAATATTCGAAATAATCGAACCCAAACTTTTAGAAACTGTGAAAGCTTGGAACGTTTCGAATTCGAAACTCCACGATTTTTTACAGTTCCGAATTTGAATTTTCGTGCGGTCGAAATATCGAAACCTTTCAAGTTCGAACATCCGTTCGGTTCGCGGCATCCCTAGTTTCCAGTGACTTCAGATAACTGGCAACCACGATTTTTAGACACAATATGGCCAAGCGTCATTACTCTGAAGCACATTTAGTGGCACTAGGGTCGACTATTTCATCAAACTTCACCTGGCACAGGTGTGGTGAAACTCATGGCAAAAATGGCATTTTGGCACAGGACTTTCATTGCTATTGTTTCTGGATAACCCATTTGTGACAGCGCTATTGGAATGGTCAGTGATGGCCAGGAATAACTTATCAATGTTGTTTTTAAATTACCTATGCAGCCAATGTCCTAATGCGACAAATTGCACCGCTTGCATTACCCATCATCCCATAGGAATTAGCATTTGACAAATGGGCCTCTTAAATTGCTAGCACGAATTGATAAAAAAAAATTTCACATAAATTGGGTTGCATCCAGGATCAAACAACCTGCAAAACTTAAGTCGCGTTTTGGCAGGGCCTATGAAATTCCGGCTCTTGAATTGCTCTAACCTCTACTATACCTATAGTCGGCGAGAGGTCAAGAACGAAGTGGACGCTCCTCCTACCACTTTCTACTTTAGTAGTGCGAACGCTGGAGGGGAGGCAACCTCCTCTCCACAATTCGCTCTCCTGAAGTGGAAAGGGGTGCGAGGAGCTTCCACTTCGCTCTTGACCCATCACTGACCATAGTTTCACTTTCCTATGGACACAGCAGACGCTATAAGTCGTCAGCCAATCTAATGCCGTGCCAGTCCCACGTTACCTTCAAGAAGGGCACAGCAACACGTAGGGCATGTAGTCACAATACATTTACAGTGCTGGGATGGCTGATATGGCTTCTAGCATTTGCTGAGGTCCATCATAAGGTGACACAAGCACACCAAGTTTCCAAAACATCATGCTCCAGTATGGAATACAAACGAGTGGTTTATTGGGAAAGACCATAACACTGCAATGATGACATGGTACAGGACCATTTATTTCTTCTTTTTTTACAGCCAGACTGTTCCCATCAGTGCTGCTTTTTCCTGAAAGAGCAGCCTGCAAAAGAGAAGGGAGGAGTTGGCACCATAAGTGATCAAGCACAAATTGTCAAAAAGAGGAATTGAGGAAAAAAAAAGGGCGGGGGGGATGTTTAATGTTGCAAAACCACAGAAGTCCCAGGCTATGGAACAACCCCTGGAGATCATCAGAGGAAATGGCTTACAACAATTCTAGCCTAAAGTCCACCAAAAGGAGTATGTTGCCTTAGAGGCTTAATCGGCACCTCCACAAACAATTACAGAATATAAAGAGCACTGCTCTCAACAAAGAACTTTAAAAACTGGTATGCCAGAAATTATGCTACAAGAATCAAGTAACTGGAGATTTTGCTAAGCTCTGTAAAATGCATTGAATTTTGACAGCAAAGGTAGTTCCCGACGCCAAGTTAAACAAAATAAAAAAAGCTTCACGAAACTTCATTCAAGCTTTGAGTCACGATACTGCCACCCGCTTCTTACATAACCTACCACCTGCATGACCCATAAGGATATCAACCCAGGAATGCTGACTATATAAAAAGAAAAAAACCTACCGATTACAAGCAAACATGGTTGCAAGAGGCGAAACCAGAAATTGCAGTTTGAAACACCTGCGAACATGTTTCAAGGACGGAGAAGCATTTTCCGCGATTTCCAACAACTGGCAACAATGATTTTAAGCAACAGGACAGCTGAAGCATCGTTACTCTGAAATGTGACGTGTTTGCGACTCTAGGCAGTACGAGAGGTAGAAAACCTCCACTAGTTGTTGTTTTCTGCTTACAACCGGCTGCACAGCGATGCTGGCAGTCATAAGCCCTCTCAAGAAGCTTAAAAACAGGTCTTGTCTCAGTTGGTCGTAGTCAAGGGCAAGTGTGTGGACGGGCCTTTAAGGTAGCGTTTTAGTAAATTTCAAGCTGTGGGTAGGATTTTAAACAAGGAGGGAGGGGGGGGGTACTTGAGTTGCATTGTCTTAATTATAACGAAAACTTGAACTGATTAGAACACAGTAATTGCCCTGGAATTACAAGTGAGACTAAACCTTAACGTATCATATTTACATGACTGTAAGTCGACCCCCTCTCATTCCACAACGAAAAATAAAAAAATAAAACTTCTGGGGGCGTAATCTATGGCAAACATGTGAGAACGAAAGGCAAGGCGTCTCTTTCGAAAGCCTGCCCTCAGGGACGCGCTAGATGGCTTCTGCCGTGCTTGCACGTCGTCGCCCAATGAAATTTTGCTCTTCGTAGATGACAGCCCTAACCGCATCCCCCGCGCTTGACAACTCAGTGATTGCGTCGCACGTCACGGGTAGGAACTGATCGCACAGTTCTGCGATGTACGTGGCAAGCCGGACCTCCTCTGAAAGGCATCCAGACCTATTCAGACTTTGGCCCACGGAAGTTTCTTTGCTTGGTGTCACAGTTAAAGGGACACTGACACCCACCAATTTTTTTTTTTTTTTTTTTTTTTTTTCAGTTTTTGCCAGGCGTTTATTATGGTGTCGGAGGACTACCCAATTAATATTTTGCAACAGAGTGGCATATTATTTTAATAAAGCCAAAAGACGCAACTGCTCGAAACCGAAACTCGGAGAAGTGGAGAGAAGAGAGTGAATGGCGGAAGTCTTGTGGCTACACCCGATTGCGCATTTTTTTCTCTCCTCTCCGTAGCAGACAACATGCGGCTTACGGGAACTGTTCGCCGTGCGATTCGTTTGCAGTTATGTTTGTTCTGCTCGTTGTTCTGTACTCCAAGATGAGTTGTTTTGTACATTGAGGAGTTGAAAATGAGTAGTGAGTGCCCGTGGTGAATTTCCACGATCGGCTCCAAAAAGAATACACCCAAGATGTTGCGTGAAGAGCTGGCTCACATGTCCTGCGTCCGAAAAAAAAAAAAAGTGGCATTGTGCGACAGAGTTTCCGAAAGATCAACGGGATTGGGACCAATGGCTGGCTGCAATTCCTGTAGGAAAGCGGACGCTACCTGATTTATATGCTCCTTGCATTTTGTTTAAAGTGATTACGTTGAGTTCGCAGGTGTCAAACAGGAAATCCCAAACCATTCAATTCAGCGACGTGTCGTCCACAACATTTGTTAGTTATTTTTTTTGTTTGTTTCTTCAGTGATAATTGAAAAAAAAAAAATGTAGACACCAAAAATGTCTGAAAAAAAAAAAAAAGAAAAAAAAAAAAGAAAAAGGTTTCACGGGTGATTGAACCCGGTTCTACCGCGTGTGAAGCGGATGCCTTTCCCACTGAGCTACTGGGGCATCTCTTTCCTTTGTAATATTTCAGCAAGTAAACTCTAAGTTCGAAAGTTTGCTGCCAATTTTCTCCCAGCAAAAGCACTCCCAGGTCCAAGTCGGGATGCACCACGCATTGGCAACATTTGCAGCAAGTAAAGAAATCGTACACGTGCATATTCAACTCGAAGTAGACCCGTCGTGCTTGACGTTTGCGCGAGTGATGTCTTCAGCCACGAGAAGGGAGCGACGGCTCAGCAACGTCTTTGTGCAAATCGGCTTGGTGGTGGGGTGTGTCGTATGGGATGAATACCAATTTTTTTTATCAGTCTCAAATTTTTCTTAAAAAAGGCAGACAGAATTCGCCGGTACCGCGAATGACAGTTCTGAAAGAGAGGTCCCACGCCCGTCGTCCGCTGCCATCGCCGTCCCCGCGAGTCCCACGATACGCGAAACAACGCACGCACAGAATGCTTCCGGTTGTCTCTGGAACTTTTTTTTCAATCAACGTATTTGCAGCTTTTTAGAAGCCACAAAAAATGGGTTTCATATTTTTTTCTATTTTTAATATTGAGTGTGTGCCTTCAGTGACCAATGACTGATTAAATTTGGTGGTCGCATCGATAACTTAGAAAACGGCCCGTGACCACGGAAAAGAGAGTGAGCGAGACTCAAACCGGACATCTTGATCGCCGGTTTTCGGGCGTAAAGAAACCGAATTCCGAGTCGCAAAATGTGTTCTGGGTAGTTGGGCTCTCATATGTCATGTATAACTGAAAACCTCGGCGAGCATAAACCCACTGTGAGTGTCCATTTAAGAACCTAAAGGGGCGGTGCAACGATTTTAAGATTCAAAAATTTGTATCTCGTCATTTCTCTGTTTATCGTATTCCGTAGTATAGAAAGAACATCTTCATTAAAAAATGTTGTGATTCTGCTGCAAAATCACAAAGCCAAAGTCTAGCTTTTTCCCCCACCTGCAGCCGCGAGTGGCAGCCGAAGGAACTATGGCGAGAAGCTTACGTGACCTTGCTCAGCTCTAAACTGAAGCACAATGCCTGCTAGTGCCAGCAGAGAGGGAAAGGAAGCGCCCTCTGAGACAGCACACGGGAGGCTACAGGCACTCAAATTACATCACCAGGAGTGCGACCAGGTGTGACCCTGAAGACTGGGAGTGGAGTTGAGGGGTGTCAGAAATGCCAATATTTAACTTTTTTTTACGCAACTAGGACACGCAGGCGAAATCGGTTTTCTGTTCTTTACTTTGCAAGTGTCAGAGGGCAACTTCCACAAGTTTTTGACTGAAGTCCGGATATCGTCGCAACCCCTTTTTAAGATCCTGCACCATCGCAGATGCCATTGGCTTTTGAAGAATGGCCACATACAAACATTGAAAACTGCCCAGATCAAGCATGTCAATACAGAGAAACATAGTTAGCAAGCACTTTAGCATGATCTCGACACTTGACGTGCAACCGTGAATTGTGCGAAAAGAAGCAGTGGGGAGTAAAGCTGGTGAGGCACTTCAAGCGGCCATTCCAGAGTGTCTTTTACATCAAGTGCCGCCACCCACGGGAGTCGGGTGCGCCGTTCACCGCTGTACATCCGGGCTAATTTGCGAATTGCTATCAATAATACTCGTTTCCGCAATTTCAAAAAAAAAAAAAAAAAAGGAGAGCTTGTATTATGACGCTTTTTGTCCCTTTTGTTCCCCTTCTTCAGGGATTATTTTCGTCATCCTTGTCCAGCTCGCTGCACCTTTGCATTGAATTGCATTATAATTGTTAAATGAGCGCACAGCATAGCACATGCTACAGATACAGCCGGCCAAACTCGTATAACAAGCCGAGGTGCTATTGATATCCTGGTTGTTTTGCTTTGGTCGGCAGTGGAATGCTTTGGTTTGATTATAAGTCGACCCCCCCACTTCACTTTCAATATTTGAAAAATGGGCCAATCTACATTCGTGACTGTAACTATGTAAAAGGTAGGAGCAGACAGATCACAAGTGTGGCGGATGCATCACACAACAGGAGACCTTTCTACTTTTTCTAATTTGCAATTTGACATCCACTACTGTGGTTTTTTTGTCTCTTGCCCTTTTTCACAAGCACCAGGGGTTTCTCTTTCCCAGCAACATGTACCTCTCTCGATATGATGCAGTACCCTAAAGGTGCAAAGAAGTTTTTGACCTTTTTAGAAACAGTATGGCTAGCCATTTTTAAACTAAAACATAGTCTGCCTATTTTGCATCTAAAAGTCCACAAACCATTTATTTGCATGTGCCCTACTTTTATGCGCTGATCAACCGAGGGAGAGGACGAGGAAGCACACGGGGCTGTTAGAACACCGACGTCTGGTTTGAATGTTTAGTGCGTAGACCTAGAGCTAGCTGCCTTTCTCTTCACTGCACTCGTCAAACGTGTTCGAATGCGCGAGTCAAATGCCGGACCGTTCCAACACGTTCAACGAGTGCAGTGGAGACAAAGGAGCTCGGCGTTCTCACATTCCCGTGTGCTCTCGTTTCCTCCTCTCCCCAATTCTCAGTGCACATAATACACACAATGAACATCCACACATTCCCCTTCACGTCGAGAAAAAAAGGAAAGTAATGCTTCCCTTTCTCAGTTTGCAGAGGAATAGTATGGCTACGACTGCACATTTCATACGGAAGTCGACCGTGTGCGCAAATAATTTGTGGGATTTTAGACTTTGTGAAGTTGGTGGATTACATCAGAGCCCCGAAAGTCAAGCACCTTATTAGTGCACTTTGAAACCCCTGGAGAGAATAGGCATGCCAACTCCTCTGTCCAAATGCGACAGTAAAAAAAAAAAAAAATCCTGCAAACATGCAACAAAAATCTATACTCAAAACTGAAAAGTCTAGGAATATAAAATTCTTTTGAGCCACATGAAACTACCCTACGCGTTTCAGAGAAAAGAAGTGGCGAGTTTCGGGGCAGTGAACTTCATTTGCTTTCCATAGATCTTGCAACTCCATCAAGTGCACTTGAAAAAACAACAAAAAAACTGTTGACTCTCATGGTTTTATGTAACAAACCAACAAGACCACCTGGCATGACCCAGTGGAGAACTGAGGATTAGGTTTGACCACCTGGAGACCTTGTAGCAAGCAATCGAAATCTCGGTTACATGGCGCCCTCTACCCATTAAGCCTCGATCAGACTCCGGGCACCTCGGTTGGGATTCGAACCCGCCCTCTGGGGATCTGTAGGCCAGCACTTAGCCTCGTAACCACCAAGGCGGCTTGAGCCAATGCTCCTGCCAAGCGTTTTGTCAATGCACGAGGCACCATTAATTTAGTTTAGCCCATATGCTCTCAACCAAGCAAGGTCCGAACTCCAGAAAATGGGTGCGAAGAGCTCTGATTTAGCACTACAGTACAGCCCGCTTATAACGAACCTCGAAATAATGGATATTGCGAATGGATTTAAATTTCCTGTTACCGTTTGCATACCAGCAATAAAATATGAGCCCGCTTTTAACAAATACCCACAGGACGTCCGCCACGGATATAGCGAAAAAACCACAAAATGTACTCAATTTAACTGCAAAAAAAAGCTTTTTACAGTATAATTGTAGAAAATAACTGCAAAAACAAACAACTGCACACTGATAACGCAACTAAGGCAACCGCCATGTTTCGTACGAGCAAGGGAGGAATTCGCACTGTTCCGCAAGTTGTCTTCTCCGCAGTATGAGTGACGTGCACCATTGCGCACGTCGTGCGGGAAATTTCGGGTTTTCTGCTGTTCCCGTCTGCTCCGCGTTTTTCTCCCCCATTTTGACATCCAGCTATGGACCTCCACGAAAGTGAACGCCTCGTTGCGAAAGTACACGGATTTCACGAAACCCTACCTGACTGAACCTGCCGACCGTGACTGACTTCACCAACGACATGGCAGGCAAGGAACAAAAGTTTTGCTTCTGCTTGATAACTGTAGCGCACATCATATCAATCCGCTGCTTAATGCCATGGAAATCCTCTTCCTTCCGCCAAACGCCAAGGCCAAGCTTCAGCCGATGGACCAGGACGTTATTGCCAACTTAAAGGTTCATTACTGTCGCTGGGTTGTGGAGAGTCTCCTCTGATGAAGCCCTCGCGAACTCTGACCCCGTCAATGCGGAGGCAGGTAGCGAAATGACGAGAGTGGCGACGACTCTGCGAAGAAGTTTTTGTCCGCCGGAACGGGTCTCGTTGCGGCGGAGACCATCTGAGACTACTTCGTTGGTGCTGAGCAAGTCTGACTTGGACAAAGCCTTTTCCCGCACTTCGACGCTATCGTGACGACGTCTCTTATGCGGTACGTACCGTACAGTCACGAATCGACAGCTATTTTGGAAAGCATTACAATCGCGTGCTGTAGCAGCTGATTTCTCACTTTTTCGAAATGCACATATAGCAAAAATGGATATAGTGAACTGATTTTCAATTCCCGCGGCGTTCATTATAAGCGGGCTGTACTGTACCACACAGCAACAAGAAACATGATGTAAATGTGCATGCCCAATGTGGCTTTGCTTTTATCAAAAAAAATGTACAAAAAAGAGATGGAAAATTGTGAGTCACAGTTGTACAAGCTCAGCTAAGGAGCTGGGACAGCTCACACAATGTCTGGAAACCATAGGCACAACTACATCAACCAAGAGGAAACCATCAATGAAATTGAGAGATGGACGATGTGACCCAAATTAGCAACAAACGAGTTCTCGCCCTTGCCCCAGGTGGGAAGATTTGACCCCTGCTATGCGAGACACTTCCTGAATATAAATAAAACCCATCACTTGCGCGAGTCACAAACCACTGCACAACTCAGGTATACAGCAAGGGCTCACCTTCAGTTAGCCTAGCCCTGCCTCCTGTTGGCTGGCACAAAACCGTGGAGCAGCCGACGCACAGCACGACTGTCTGGGCATGACTAAAGACTGTTGTGATTTTGTAGCAGCCTGAAAGGAAAAGGTAACAGTGCATGACATATTGAGAGAAAAACCATCCAAATGTTAACGTAATGACTTTTGAAAGTAGCTGCATTGCCAAATTCTTCTGCCATACAGAAGGATTAAAAACTAAACTCAAACTTTGCAGAATGCTCGGAAATTTCATCCGACAGTTCCTCCATTCATTCCTAAGCTCATAGTGCAGTGGAAGCTACAAACTTGTCGGACCAGTCGTACATACATCTTTTGCGACATGAACATGCTATCAGACATGCCCACAGGCAAAATGCAGCGTCGGGTAATAAAAGGGAAGCGGCTGATTGGTCCAGCGAACATGTAGCTCCTACTGCACCGTCAGCTTAGAGACGAGCTAAATACATGTACCGTTGGGTCCAAATGAAATGCTAACAGTGACGGAACTACGAGGCCACTACTGGCGCAGCTTCCAAGCTTAGGTTGTGCTTAGCGACGTTCAAACACAACCTCGCAACATCCTACCCCGATGTGTTTGAACCTCGCCAAGCAGAACCCGAGCTCGGAAGCTGCGCCAGTAGTGGGCTCCAAGTTCTGTCACTGCTCGCATTTCATTTGAACCCAATGATGCATATACCCTTCGAGAAATTAAAGAAAGCTGCACACGAGGCCAGACAGTTCATTAGAGGCGAGTGTTGACATTCGCGTAGGGTGAGCCGCTTCAGAGTCTGGCTGATTTCAACATCCCATTAACCTTCGCATTCTGGATGGCAACACCATTTTCTTGGGAATCATTAGTGAGGATAGATGCGGGAGGCTCCTTTTACATAAGACAAAGGAGCTGGTCAGTTCAAAAGCCCGGTGTGATACATATACTGTTAATGCAAGCAGTGAATGTCATCAATGAGAGCAAGGTGAGAGTTGTAGGGTGCCAGGAAGAACATACATCACTGACAACAAAGCCCAATCCATGTTACAAGTGCAGCATGGAACATGCCCCAAATGGAAAGATTGCACTACGGACAGTGCTATGAATGTAAGAGCTGCCCCACTGTCATCCACGCTGTAGTGTCAGTCACACTTACATGTGCCTCTCACTAGCTTCTCCCTACTGCATGAATGTCCATTTATGGCAGCACAGGTTGCACTCAGTTGGTCAAACAAAGTTTTAGCAAACTCAGAAATTTCATTGAAAGACACTTTAGTGAACAGTCGGCTGCCGCGAAGCGGCGTCTACGGGTGGTCCAAGCGGGTTAACATTTTTGTAATGAGCCACTGCAGACTGCCACCATGAAGCAGCGTAAGCACAGTGAGGGGGGGGGGGGGGGGAATTAACATGCGCCCTTGTTATTCTCTCCAATGATGCTGTTTGCTAAAATGGGGTTTACAACGGTTTATCGAATGACATTTCATCGAAGTATGTCTAGAGGATGGGACGTTTTATCAAAGCACGGTTTAGAGAAAGCAGAGCCTCAGTTTAGAGAAACACCGTTTATTGAAAAGGGGACTATATTTAAAAAAGGCTTTCCTAGTTCGCGCGAGCATCACTGGTGCATGTGTTAACCCAGATCCCCTGCTGCATTCCTACAGCTTTGCGGTGGCAGTCTACGGCGGCTCGTTACAAAAATATTAACTCACCTGACTTATTCATACACGCCGCTTCGCGGCGGCTGAATTCGCTAAAAGGCACCTCATCGCCATTTTCTCTAAACTGGGTTTCACTATAAATGGATTTAATAAACTGGAATCGATAAAACGGCTTCGCTAAAACGAGCTTCTCTAAACCGAATGCCTCCGTCTAAAATGTCATTCACTCATGTGATATGGACCCATGGCAGTACTACCAGGAAACAAATTATCAGCCCTAGCAAAGTATCACTTTGAAGCTGATCATGAATGCTGCAGACTACGAGACCAAGGACATCAAATGGGCTGCGACACTTCCTTAATTTCTGGGCACCCTAGCTAATAGAAGATTCTGTCCATCACAAATTGTATGCAAAACTATTCACAGCAACCAAGGCTTGGAATCCGGTGTTCCTTCTAACCACGCAATGGAAAATTAGCTGCTTATACATGGTTTATCTCTCGATTTTATTTTGGTGACGTGCAAGCGGTTTAATAACATGCTCAGTTAAGGGGGGACACTGGCTAGAGGTCAAACTTTTGAACTACTCTAGTGATCGGAATGAAATTTGCAGGGGACATTTAGCTTCAGATGTAGGTGTACTGTGCCAACTTTCAGCTCTCTAGGACAAATTTACATACCTGCATAAGATGATGTGTCACTTTTCATTAAGAAATCTATGATATGCAAATCAAGCTATTAAGCACCATTTTGACTGCTTGAATATAAAGTGGGAGATATGGGACCTTGGGCTATCTAGTTTTAATAACTTAAATGTAAATATTTCAGGAAGAGTTATTACCTCAAACTACGAGATGCACTTCTGTCATCTGTCAAGTTTTGAAAACTTAGTTTTTCTCACTGAAAACTTCAACTTAAAACAAAATAAAGTAGATAGCCCGATTCCTGAGTAAATTTCAGTTCAGGAACATCTTGATTGTGGTATCAGAATACTTTCACCTTCGAACAAAAGATTCCTTCGTATGAAATTTGCAGCAAAAAGTGGAACTGAGAAAAATGCATTCAAACATTGAACTCCTTTACTTTGTTACTGCCTCACAATGTGTTGAAAATATTTTATATCAACGTAACTGTTTGGCGTATGGTCATCAAAATTGGTGTAAGGGTGTATAATTAGTTTCTAAAACTGAAAACCTCAAAATTAAAAAATGAATTTTTTCAAACAAATTTAAAATTTAGGCCCATGTCCCCCCTTAAGAATTCCTCGGGCAAACAAAATTCAAGTCTAGCAGGACAATTAGTCGCAACTCAGACTCCCTCTCAGTCAGAGTTGTGTAGACATCTTCCTACGCCGGACAGCTGCCCACAAGAGAGAAGCACCCACATCCCTTTACACACATTTACAAACGATGCTACAACAAATCGCTGCAGCAGCAAGCAAAACGCCGATGCTACAAATCGCCGAAACAGCAAGTAAGACACCGGTCGTCAGTGCGAGCAAGCGAACGTGCCCGGACACGTTGAAACTTGTTCAGACACGAACGGACGGAACGCTCTGACAACGCTTCCAACGGCCTAGACACGCGGAGGCCTTCCCGAGTGCTTTCTCACCTGGACACTTGACGTCCATGAAGAAAGACTTCGGCTGCTGCACCAACCTCTTCAACTTGCACTTCCTGCGCTCGTCTTCCGGGGAAGGGTTGAGTAGATCTCTGGCGAGCTGCACAAAATCGCACACCAAACAAATTAGAGGACACGCCAGACGGTGAAGCTGGCGCAGCAGGAACAAGCCACATTTCACCTACAGCCGAACAGGTGAAATTTAAATATCAAAACCGAGCGAATTTCCGTGCAGCGTTACTTTCCTCTTTAAACTGCGATGTACTGCGTACCGCGTTTAGAGGCGGCCGAGTTGAGGCAGGTCGGCGCGGCGCTTAGGCTTAGACGCCGCAACGTGATCACAAAGATCGCGTATAATCAACCACGTTCCCCACCGTTTAAATTTAATGCACATGCGGCGAAGCTTCTTAGGTCGAAGAAACGCACAATGCCGAATGCCACGAATCAAAACTTTCACAGAAAACAATTATGAAGCGTGCCACACTTACAGGCATGTTGCCGACCCGAACAACACACGGCGAAAGGAAAACCTACGGGGCGAATTATTTACTCGAAGGGGCTCGATGAAGTCGCGATGCGACTGCTCTACAATTTACGAATCGCAGAGACAAACTGCTCGATCCATGCGATCTCTTGATGGTTTTACAACGTTTCAAATATAAACTTAGTCATCGTATATAATTGAAATCATATTACTTTTTGTAATGTGTTTTATTTACTTAATTTTGAAAAGATATAATACTTTGGATTAACTAATTGCCATGAACTTTTCACACAACTATGAGGATAAGTTTTAAACATTTCATGAACTTAATTAAAAAAGTGTAATTTATTTCAGGATTTACCTTAATTTTGTGTCGTGTATTTTAACGATTTTAACGCTAGAGAATGACGTTGTCTGAAAACGGCATAGCCTCATTAGCAGCATGGCTACACTGAGAGCCGACATTCCAGGAAGTGACGAAATGGTGCTGGGCTTTTTCCGGTTTATTTGCTTGAAATGGCGAAATCGTACGATTTTTTGTTTAAGTTGCTTTTAATAGGCGATTCTGGAGTGGGGAAGACATCGATACTCTTTAGGTTTTCAGACAACAAGTTCGACGGAAGTTTTATATCGACAATAGGTGAGGTGTCACCCACGCACAAGACCTTAGGCTTAGACCGAAGATTCATTCCCCGACGCCCGGCCCCCGGCCGAGCGGCTTGCCGACGCTACGGCCTCAAAAATGCCTACTAGCTCCTCAAAAGTTCCTCGTGAACGTATGAAAGACGGGGCTATTTCCAGGACAGCGCCCTACACGTTTGCGTAAAATGTCACCACTGGAAGGAGCTTGTGCATTGTGCAATGCTTGGACCACGCAGTCTGCATCTCGCCTCACGTCATCCGATTACATGCGGTCATTCCCAGTGATTGCTTGCACGCGAAAAGGACTTCAAAAGCACCATATTTATATTCTGAAGTATACTTTCACACTCGATAATCAAACCTTAAGTCGGCCTATACTGCCGCTTTTCTCTTGTCATCTGTCAGCTGTTTTGGGTGGAACATTGTCAATTGAAAGACTCCTTTCAGCGATCTGTCCTTCGCTGAGCGTGATGCATGTTGTCCTAGAAACTAGGCACGCAACTTACGGATACCTTATGCTGGGCAAGCCCTGCCTAATAGTGTCTGCCTGCTTCACAATTTCAGGAATCGATTTTAAAATACGCATTATTGAAATCGACGGAAAGAAAATCAAGCTTCAGATATGGTAAGGATGCGGCTTTTCTTTAACAACCCTACTATTTCTTCCCATAAGAAAATAAAAGAAAAAAAGAAGGCTATGTTCTCACTTAATGTCTCATTTCAGGGACACTGCCGGTCAGGAGCGCTTCCGTACGATCACCACTGCCTACTACAGGGGCGCCATGGTGAGCTTTCTCTCGCAGACCATTGTTTTGTCACCGTGTCTTTTAAACGTTGATCAGCAGGTCTGTATCGTTTCGGAAGCACATTTTGCGGGCAGCTTTTCATAGACATACATTTCATGGAAACACGTTCCATCGTCACAGTGACATTTCGCGGAAATTTCACGAGCTCGTGCTCTTGTGACATTTTGTTGACAACAGATTTTTTTTTAGTAAGTGGACTGGATTAGATTTCTGGCTCCATTTCGTTTGCTGAGTATATAATGGAACTACCGCGGTGCCACCCAGACGGCTCAAATAGGGCGAGAACAAATTCGGAGGCCCTGACCCTAGACTTGCAAACAGACTGCACAATGCGCAGTTCTTCCTCGCTTCGCTCCACTCGGGGAAAATGAATTATAACCTCAGGCTCGAGCTTGCACCAAGCCTTGCCAGGACTGCCAAGCCTTGTCAAAACTGCTAAAGGTTCGGCTAGCTGGGCTACCGTCGGGACACTCGCAGGCAAAGCGACGTGCACTGAAAGAGGCTTCTGACAAACTGTCACAATATGTTTCGATGAAAGGAGCTGTCGAAACGTCACAGTGTCGATGAAAGAATCTATGTGGAACGTTGTATGACAAACTGACTGCCACTGTTGATCAGTCTGATTGGTGTGCTACCCAAATTTGTTGACCGACGTACTTGCATCTTTTTGTGCTCTCCTCCTTTCTAGGGAATCATGCTCGTTTACGATGTAACGAAGGAGAACACGTTTGAAAATATCAAGACTTGGATCAGAAACACCGACGAGGTAAACTAGACATTGCCTTTTACATTTTTTTTATACTGTTTTACATTTTATTGTATCTGCTGATGGGAACTTTTCTGCTTAGCATGCCGCAGCTGATGTTGAGAAGATGATCCTGGGCAACAAGTGTGACATGAATGATCTCAGACAAGTGTCCAGGGAAAGGGGTGAGAAGGTGAGGGGTGCACCCTTTGTGTGTGTGTGTGAAGAGTCCACATTCTTCCGTTCATGTGCATCATCAGTTTCGTTTGCCTACCTTTTTCAGTTGGCAGTGGAACATGGCATAAAGTTCATGGAAACAAGTGCTGTGTCGTCAATCAATGTAGAAGATGCCTTTTATACACTTGCTAGGGACATCAAGGAGAAGATGGAAAGGAAAGTGGTATGTTATTTTCTTTATCTATAGGGGTTCTTTTTTCCCCATTTTTCAGTACCATATGGTGCATGTCCATTTGAAGGGGCATGCAAATAAAGATTTGAACGGAGCGACACTAAGTCATGCAGTAAGCTCCATGCTGGCAAGGTCAACCACAATGCTATATCGTAAAATACCAAGCACACGCCCATGCAAAAGTTTGAGGTAAGACCCACAAAAATGGAGCTTGTTAGGTTTGAGAGCAGAAGAGCAGAAGGGGCACATTGTAGGGTATGCCCTTGTTTGATCCGATGAAACTTCATAGGCCCACTTCAGACGGGGCAACTTTTCCAGCAATTTTGAGGTTGCTGGCGGGTTGTTCCCTAGCTTTCCCCAGATCGACACGAATTGCTGAGATCGGGTCCGGCTCGAACAAGCGAGCAACTCGGAGCAATTCAAAGACGGTTGAAGCGGCTGCAGCCAATCCCAGGCCAGCACAACTGCTGGCCTGGGATTTTTTTAATGTGCACCACGCAGTAGTGACACGACCGCATGCCGTTACGATGCTCATCCAGATCGAAACGGGCTGGGTTGGAGATTGAACTCCAGATCCCTGGGTTCCTGGGATCATTTTCCACCCCTGCCCATTTCGATCTGGACGAGTATCGTACCTGCATGCGGTCGCGTCACTACTCTGTGGTGCATGTTAAAGACCCCAGGCTAACGGTTGCATCGTACCGGCTAAATTGCTTGTTTGCAGCTGAGACACCAGATGCTCACTGGGGCTGACTAACTTCCGTCTGTATAAACATGCTTACAATTACTCCTACCTGTCCCACCCAACAAGCAAATGAGATTAAGCCATCGAAAAGTAGCAGGGAAGTGTGTTTCAGCAGGCTATAAATCTTGTACCTACCTTTGCTTCCTTCAAATATTGGCATAGGGCTTGAGAACAAAAAGTAAACCAACAAGAAACATTCAGTTGAGCCTTGAAAGTTCTTTGTGTCACATCTGCAGAGAAATTTATTACTGTTTCTATGAGATAAATATATCTGTCTGCCAATATAGCAAGCGCATTAGATCCAACTGGTTGTGTGCGGCGTTGATGGAATGGTGTGTTGGAGGCTCGTGCTAATGTTGGGAGGGCCCCTATAGGAATCTCTAGATAGTTTTCCTGGAAGCATCTCAAGCAAGGTGTCCTGAGCATTCTCTGGAGTCTAAAATATGAAAGGACAATTTCTCAATCCAAAGACCATTATGAACACCTCTAGGTGCTCATAATGGATGTTCCATAACAATTCAGGAATAAATGTACCCAGATCTTTTGAAGTCAAAGGTACCGGAAACATGCTTTCAGCTTTCGTAACTATTCCCTTTGCTATGGGAAGAATATTCTTGGCTTTTTGAGCCTTGGCTTTTTGAGAAAGGTTTTGCCTGGCTGCTCTCGTTAAGGTTGTGATCCAAGACAGTACTGCTGTAGATGGGTATTCTAGATAAGCCTATGCTTCAACTTCATGTATGCAGATCTTTTACCTGCCTAAAAAGTTGGGCTAGTGATTCCTTGCTAAATGAAATCATTGTGAACAAAGGGTTGAATGTTGTATTATGGTTGTTGCTATTTGGTACGCACTTGCAGAAATCAGTTGTGTTTGTTCTGTGACAAGTAATGAACCATGTGTACTTTCTCTGTTCCAATACTCAGTTGAGTTCCATGATGGGAGCACATAAGGTAAACAGACACTCTCTCAGTGTTAGAGTGGCCTAAACCTAACGCCTGATGCAAATGTGTCATAACATAGTGGTTTGCGCATGCTCTAGTTGGCACCGCTCTCTGCTCAAAGTCAGTCTCCATGCAATTGCAGTGGTCAGATATTGTCATAAACAAGTGAATTTTGATGGTGACCTAAGTTTTTGCAACAACTTGTACTTAGTCACTAAATTCAACCGGAGCTTGAATTTATCGTTTCTGCTCTACCTTTACGAAATTTAGCACACGCAAAATATTTCAGAACTCAGGCATGAGAAGAATTCATTTAAATATTTAGCCTACCAGAATATAATGCTTTTACAGTAGTAAAAGGTTTCATTGGCTATACTTTCATAATGTATTCAAATCAAATGTATTGTGTACCAGTTTTACTGTTGGGACAGCGCACAGAGAAGTGGTGCTGTGGCATAATTATTTGTTGCCAGTGTTCATACAACAGCTGCTTGTTGGTTTTTGGCTCCTGAATATGAAGACATGCATGTGCTTCACCCGGTGCTCAGTTGAAAATGGCAATAATTTTCAAATGAGTATTTTGTGCATGCACTCTATTGAAGACCTGCTGTAATAGAGCAAGTATTGTGTGTATGGAATGCTTTGTATGACAGGCTGCCCAATAGTTGTTTGCTTGTCATGCTTCTGCTGCGAATGCACTTGTCTTGTATAAAAAAATTTTATGGTTACAGTATATGATTGTGTTCTGTATAATCGTGTTTGTGGTTGTAGTATACAATTGCACCTTGCATGTCCGTTTATTCCTATGCAGGTTTTATGTTTCATTTAAAAATGGATACTTGCAGATACTGGTTTTCCCTGGGCTTTAAACTTTTTCAGTGCACCTACTGGGACTTCCAGTTCGTCAGGCGAGAAAAATGGATCACATTGTGTCATGACTGTTTGAAACTACCAGAATAGTATGTGAATTACAGGGGCAGGACAGTGAGAGTTAAAAACCTTAAGCAAACCTCTTTCAACTCTGCCTTTATGTAGAACTTAGCTTCTGTATGTTAACGATAAGACAATTAATGTGTAGGCCATCTGGTGCAAGTGTATCATGACGACATTAACCCGAGACTGGCATGAAAAATTAATTTAAAGTGGAGAAGAAAGTGGGTTAATATCATTGTGGTTCTTCAGGTTAAATTTGCCCATTTTGTTTCATGGCACATTTTGGAAAATAAATTTCCAAATCGGGAGATAAATTGTAAAAGTTTTAGTTGTAGGCTCATATTTCACTTTAAATTTGCCAAGTGGAGGGAGTGGTGAGGACGGCTGCGAAAGGCAAGGTGTCGATGATGATTCAGGAAAGATCAGCCAAAGAATTACAATGTTTAATTTCTTACCATGTTTCTGTATGTTATTTATTTATTTATTTAGTTTATTTGCACTGAAGGTTGTTAGACATTACAGATAAGGAGTGATCATAAAATGCAAAAAAACATGGCAAAGCAAAAAAGAAAGATGAGAAAGATGCAGTCATGGTTTTGAACATAAGAAAAAGTTGGAAAGAGTATTTTTGAAAGCAGCTTGGTCATGGATGGTTGCAATTTGTTGAAGAAGGAAGTTCCATTCTACAGAAGTGTGAGGGATGAAAGAGTGAAAAAATACATTTGTGTTACATGGAAGAATGCCAACCTTGTTTTGGTGATCTAAACAACTGGAAATATGATAGATTTCGTGAAATAGAGATGAACGGGAACACTGCCTAAAGAAAGCAAGATTTGGTAATGATAACTTAAGTTTCATGGAGGTCATACTCGCAGTACAGTGGTAGTTAAAAAGTATAAAATGCGCCGATTCGTTTTTTATTTATTTAACTCTAAAGGCCCCTTCGGGCATTACATTAGGGGAACGTGATACAAAGATCCGTACAACTGAACCAAGTGGCAACAAAAGAAGACAAAGATAAGGAATAAAGGTAAAATGCATAAATTGAAGGTACGAAGCATTCGGCACAATGTTGGCCTTCAAACATAAGATATAAAAAAGATGGCGCACAATAAAAATATGTACATCAGAAACAAGACACCGACAACAACAAATATTGCAGGGATACAAGACTATTCAGGGTTCAACATGTTTAGAGCGGAGACTAATGGTCACTGATAGAGGCAATTTCTCTGGGGAGGCTGTTCCAGCGAGGAGTGGTGGAGTGTTTTTAAACATGTTGGGTCATGCAAATATGGGGTTAATTTTGAAAGGGTGATCTAAGCGGGACGATATATGGTGAGCTGGTAGTAGGAAGGAGTCCCTAAAAGGCGAAGAACTGTCATAAAGTTTATGAATAAACAATAAGTGTGCGAGGTGCCTTCTTGTATGAAGAGGTGACAAGTTAAGTCGAAGTTTTCAGCTGCCTAAACTTTTGCTGTGAATCGGGAGTAGTCGCAAGCCATAAATCTAGCAGCTTTGTTTTGAATAGATTCAATCTTATCTGCCAGATATATTTGATAAAGGTGCCAGATGACTGATGCATACTGAAGTTGAGATCGTACAAGGGCACTTTAGGCAAGAAGTTTTTTTATCTGAGTTTGCTTGGAACAGTGTTCATTTGAGAAAGACAAGAGTTTGCGACGCCTTGTTAGCAATGTGTTAAATGTGAAGGTTCCATGTTAAGTCCGATAAGAGGCGAACGCCGAGGTATCTAAAGGATAAGACATTTTACCAATGAACTGATTCTAAGGCCAAAGTGGGATACTCCATGCCGGGGTTTCTGGTGGAAACTGCATACTCAAGCTTCCCCCTAACCAGTGACTTATAAAGAAGTTTAAGGAACGAGGGCACAGTACTAAAATTTCTCCTCAGAAAACCAAGCATGCGGTTAGTATTGTTAATGATGTGCTCTATGTGAACGTTCCACGAAAGGGTGGACGTTATGTGAACACCAAGGTATTTGTAACAACACATGGACTCTAAACAAATTTTATTTAGGTAGTAAGTAGGTCAAATGGTGTTACGACGAGACATATGCATTGATTTGCACTTCGTGATATTTAGTTCTATTAGCCATTTATGACACCACATCGTCCGTCGATGTCTCGCGGTAAAATATGCAGTCGTCTGCAAACAAACAGGCAGGAGATGAAATGCACGCTGGCAGGTTATAAATATAAGTAAGGAAAGGTAATGAACCTAAAACTGAACACTGGAGTTAACGGGAGCTAATGAGGAAGTAGAATCATTGACAGTTACGAATTGTGAGTGATAGCAAGAAACATTCAATCCAGTTCAGCACATTTGCATAAATATTAAGTTTACTTAGTTTAAACCGACTTTTTTGAATGCTCTCGAAAAATCGAGGAATACGCAGCTTGCCTGCGACCCATGGTCAAAATAATATTCAGATTGCGAGTGAAAGACAAGAGTTCTGCTTTGCAAAAAAATTATTTGCAAAAGCCATGTTGACATGGATTAAAAAGAAGTGTATGAGTCAAGGAAGTTGGCAAGATGAGAGCGAATAACGTGTTCTAAAGTTTTGCATTAGATGCTTGTTAGAGAAATTCGACGAAAGTTATTACCATAAAATATGCAGCAAGCACCCACTCAAAATTTAAGCATAATAACAAGAAATAGGAGATGGGTGCATGTGAGGTCATCAATTTTACATATATATGTACTGTGCGCATTTTCTTCAAAATTTGGGGGTGGACACTTTGTGTGGAATGGGTTGCCAGGAAATGTTTTGTACAGGTGAAATAAGAGTTGAGTAATGCCAAGTGGGCTAAGTGTGAAGTTCGTTCCCACAACTTTTAAAAATACAAAAGCCAAATGCAAACAATTGATTGTGCCGATAAATTGCTCGTATTTAATGTATGAGGGGTATGTGGACCAGCTTACCCCAATTCCAATTTCATTCTAATGAAATTTTGTCAGTTTGGAACATTATCCAGAGGTCGTAGCAAAATTAAAGATTTCGGGGGAGGGGGGGGAGGGGGGGGGCGGGGGTGGGGGGGGGGGGGGGGGCGGGCGGGCGGTTGGAGTTGGGCCTTATGTTTCTTCCCCCCTGACTATGTGCCTGACTCTACTGTATGTCTAAAAATCTTATTCGGTTGCGAGATCATGCTGGCAAAAGCTTTGGTGGATTATACTATGTTATGCTACAAATCTGAAATCTAAATGAAGCACCTTTTTTTAGAGAGTTAAATGTTAGGCTGTTTCAAGTATATATGCAAAACAACTACAAGGAAATAGTTCATTGTAAATATGTAAAAGCAGGATTTAAACTTTTCATGCTAATCACTTTACAAAAAAAAGTGATCTGGTTTATAATGTCTCTATCTTGTCAGTCTCAGATACTCCCATGAACAAAATGCACCTGATAATTTGCCTTTAGGCTGAACCATTTTCTTTCTGAAGGGATGTTTTTGGCCAGTCTACTCAGATTTGTAACCTACAAACAGACCGGCCACTTCATGATACAAGCTGAATGAACATAGCTTGGTCAAATTAATACTAATTGCATCAAATCAACATAAAGCTAAGACTGTAGACTAGCGCGAGTTGGTGAAGGTCGAATTAAGTGCACAATGTATGACTGTAATACTTCCTTATTGCCCCGCATTTCCCTGTTCACATCCGTCAGAAGAAAACTTGAGTGTTGAGCCACGATGCTGTCAACTTCGATATGCTTGGAATCTGTTGCTCTTTTTAGTGTCATGCACATATACATCCTGAACACACTGGTAACTTCTAAAGGAGCCCGTAAACTGCACATGGAAAGAATGTGGAACAGACGATTGAGCATGTTCAAATAACGTCATTCCGTGTGCGAGAGGAGCGGCACGGGGAGTTGGCTGATGCTGGTCTTGCCTTGCAGGCCGCCCAGGCCCAGCCCAAGCCTCCGGGTGCCCACCTGCACACCGTAGAGCCCGTACGAAAAAGGACCAGATTCATGTGCACACTGCTATGATCCCGGTGTGGTGGCATGACTGTGTATAGGTTTCAGAGTCTCCCTCCAGCAGTGCAGCCTCTGTCGGCAAGGAGGCCGCAGAAGCAAAAAATCGAGAACTAGGCTGCACACTGCACACTCCCACCCTCCTGCCAAGTTCTGCAGTCGGCCGCCAGGGAACGTGCCTGGATCCCTTGCCATCCGTAGAACCGAGTATTACCTCGCTTTGTCTGCCTCCTGTTCTACTGTTTTTTCTGGATGTACTACAAGCAATACTGGCTTCGGAAAAGGGTACTGCTCCCACCGTCCTTTTTATGGTTTGCAATAATGGATTTTACGCGTGGCACGCTACGTCTATACTCGGCTTCGCTTTTTGCCTCCTTTTTTTATTTTTGTTTCGGGAGTGGGCGCAGCATTTGCCTTCAAATACTTTTCCTTGCTGCTCTTGTCCTTTTGCAGAGTGAACTATGTCTTTGACTTCAGTCAGTGGGCAAGTAGAGGGAATGATTGGCAAAAATGTCAGTAAAATACTCAGTTACAATTTGATTAATGCCGCAGTTGGTTCCTAATGCTCAGCGCAGTGTACTTGGTGGAACTGAGAATGGCGTGACGAGAAGCGAGTAGGATTTTACCTCGTCAAATCCGGTTGTGGCCTTCACAATTTTTACGCTGGGCATCTTGTATGAATAAAAAAAAAAGTTTTACTCGTCCGGTGACAACCATGCAATGGGGAAAGGTTTGCAGTGGTTTGTCGATTCAGCATTTGCTTCTATCGTGACTGTCATATATGCCTTTTTGTTTTTCTGATGTATGGGCTCTTTTAATACCACGTTCTCACTATCATGGCTGTACAGGTTCTTGTTCACGAAGGGCAATATAAAAAAATTGTAAATGAGAATGCGTTGAAAACTGGAATCTAACAAAACAAAGAGCACTGCTAGAAAGCTTCCACAAGCACAACTGGGAATATTTGTAACGCTTGCAAATTTAGTTTTGCCCCTTTAATACTAGCTTGTATACTTTTGCTATTTCGAGACTCCATGCCTCAAAATGCCCTTTTTAGTTGGCAACACTCTTGATTTTCCCCCTTGCCAGCCAGTTACAATATTCCTTCCGCTATGTTTGTCCTGTGCCTGCTGTTCTGCCTTCTGTATATAGTAGATTGCAAGTTGGCTCCAAGAGGAGTGCTTGGTAAAGGATAATTGAAGATGACTAGTGTGAACACTTAAGCACAGATCTCCTCTGTTGGTTTTTTTTAACCTTGTAGTCAGTCTGCTATAGTGTGAAGCACCAGTGAGGCTCTTTGCATCAGTTACATTCCTTTTACTGGTTTCAAATTAGGTGAAAATGTGGATATGCTGGAATTAGCTTCTGGCTCTTTGTGTGGTCACTTGATTGTCTGGAACTCGAGCCTTCTTGTGTTGCACCTCAGTCTGTTGGTAATAATCAGAACTGGTCATCGAGCCATGTTGTGTAAATAGTATTGTGAAGTATTATACCAGTGTTCTTAGGCATGGTTGAAACGAAGCCGTCTTAATGCAAGTGGCCTTTGCCCTTGTGCAAAATACTCCTCGGTGATATTTTTGCGTAGATGGTAGAGATATTTCTGCATCAGACTTGAAAATGATGGAACGTGTAATGCCTTGGAGAGAAATGGGTAATGTATGAGGATGTCAAATCTAAGTGAAAAAAGACATGCTATGATCTTTCCAATAAACACTATTTTGTTTATGTGCAATTGCTCTGGGATTTATTGAATTCAGACTGAACCGACAATACCCCGGTTTCTGTTCAAACATAACTTTAGACATTATAGGAACTGTTTTGGTGTCATGCATATTTCTTGCAAGTGGAGGAATAATAATACCAATGGTAACCAAATCTGGATACATAAAAAAGAGAAAATAATGATGAGAAATTCTTCACAAATAATTGTTTACGAGCGAATGGTTGCCATAATCTCCAACTTTAATGATTCACATGGATTCTTTGTGTTTGAGGTCTTTCTATGAAACCAATTTATAATGGCAGATTATATCATTGCAAGGTTTTATTCTGATTTACACAACTCTAGCTAAGGCAATGTATTCAGCAGCCATCTTGGAACTCAACCGGAAAACATTTAATGATAAATGGTTGAGCCTAATACTTTTGTTTTGTGAATTCCATGGACTGAATATTTGAGATTACAAAAAGATTTACAGTGGTATTTCTATGTGCATAAACAAATTGTCATACAGAATAGCAATGAATGAGAAATTATGGGATTTCATGGCGAGTTTGTATTGGTACTCTGGTTAACATATGTGACTTTACGTGTCGTGTTATTATGCAGTGTGGTCACATGAGGTCATGGCGTCAAGTCGTCGCATAGCGTTGCGCCTTGGCATCGCTCTACACCCAGATACCATGAGGAACTCGGTCGTCGTGCACCCGAGCACTCCACTGGGGCTCTTGACAATCAGCATCGGTTAACATTCAAGTAGTGGGTTGTGTTCAATCAAAGATGTGTATAGACGAACTCTAAAAACAATTTCTGAAGCTCGGCCCGTTCCCAGCACGTGGCTATGATGGATAATGGCAGTGTAGGAAGTTCTTAGTGGCGGCCATAGCTGCGTGCACGACTGCAGAAGGCGTGCCAACGGTGAGCTTCCACAGCTATTTTGCAACATGCATTCCACACCATCAAGATTACGGCTCATAGCAGCCTATTAATATGAGCTCGTTCTGAGCGTGCTCTTTGAGCAGTGCACTCAAATATGATGTCCAGTGAATACACCTTATACATATAATTGGCATCAGATCATGTGACTGCTTGTTCTTCTTGAGAGTTCAGAGGATGAACGCTACTTATTTTCCTTTATCTCTTTTGCTGTGACTGCCACTGCGTGGAGAAAAAAATTATTGCGTATTCCGTAAGTTATTAATGTCGAGGATTAGTTCTGAGCAGAATATGTACTGAAAGTACAAAAACCGTTGCGCAACCTATTTAACATGTACGTAGCACAAAGGCACCTAAATACATCTCCTTTACTTCTGAATTGCTACAGAATGCTGTTGCCGAGAGAAGTATTGAAAGGACTAAATGTAACTTATTAACCGGACCGGACTTTGAGTAGAACTACAAGTCTGTATGCACAAGGGGTTAGGGCAGGAGGTGCATGTAAAAGAAAGATCCCGGTGGCCTCGGAGGGACAGCCGACTTTTAGCTAAGACTTAAACATCAGAAGCTAAGCCCATTATCGAGACATTGGTACTCACTCTAAGTCTCATGGGAGGTTCGTTCTCAAGCTTCATCCATGGCCATATTTTGCTTAAACTTCCCAGTCTTTGGGTGCAAAAAATGGTAGTAAAAAATAAGTCGAACTAAGAGAAAATGGAAAGAGAAAAAGGGGAAAGGGTAGTTTTAGAAACATACTATGTGTAGAGCCCTGCATATCCCCAAATTACCCGCAGATCATCCGCGGATATCAGCAGTAAACTGTCCGATGCGAATAAAATTGAATCAGATTTGGCGAATCAGATGCGGATGCCAGGGGCTGAGGATGCAGATCTGATGAGGATATCCGTGAGTCCAGATCAACATTTTTGCCGAGGCGCACCATAAATGTGTTATTAGTGAGTGATACTATGAAGCGTATCACTGAATGTATTGTGGGAGCAAACTACTCTCTCGGATAAAAGGTGCCAGTCAAGGAGAAAATTGTTCTGTACGTCAAGAAAGATTTGATTTTCACCAAAGATTGCTTTAGGACGTTTATCGCAAAAAATCCTGTCCCTAGAAAAAGTAAAAAATTAAGCATCAGTCTGCGAATGCGGATCTTAAGAAAATTGCGGATGCGGATGCGATATCTGCGGATGTGGATCGGATATGGTTGATCAAACTGTTATCCACGCAGGGCTTAACTATGCGTTGTAAAGGTTCTTTGGCACCATAACTACAGGGTCCCCTCAAAAACAAAGAAAATATACAAGGTTTGCTTTAACGCAAAAAGAAAAATTGCATTGCCAAACGCTCATTCCTTTCCCAAATGTGGCACTAGTGGTCCAAATGAGATGCCAAAGTTTCAGAACTAACCATAACTTATTCAAAAACCGTGCAATTTCCTGAAATTTTCAGTGGGAAGATGGCAGCCGACGGATCCTTCGAGTAGATGAAGCTTAGTGGTGCTAGTTACCAGCAAAGGGCTCCATTCTCTTATTGGAATCTTCAAAAAACCACTTACTTTTTTGTTTTTTTAATGAGTTAACGGTTAGTTCTGAAACATTGGCATTTATTGTGGATTGCTAGCACTACATTTGGGCATAGAATGAGAGTTTGGGTGATGCGCACTTCATTTTTGCGGTGAAAAAACATAAACAATGCTGCACAACAGAGACCAGAGAGTGTGGGCCCGGAAACCACTTTGTTCGCACAAACACTCGTGCCAGATATCACATTATTATGGTACCACACACTCGTGCCGTTCCTGACAATGGCGCACCAAGCAAGAATAATTCGTTTGTCTAAAATACATGGCTTGCGCCGACTTTCTATCAGCGGCCATTTTAGTGGCCTTGCTGCGGATTGCATACCTTCTGCAAAAAAAATTGCTCGCCAACAAATTTGTTTTTTCTTAACAAAAAAAAGTGGAAATAACCAGCAGCATGATGCGACGACGTCGTGACATAGAAACAGTTGTTTCCTGGTGAAATGCAGTATTTGCAACATATCGGCCAAGAAGACGGCATTAACCCTCCATGCAAGTTATTGAGTTTTCCAGTCAGTCTCGCAGGTATGGTGACTAAGAAAATGTTATAGCGCATGACTAAGCACAAAGCTGTAAAGTGAGGAACCAGGTGCATGTGAACTCGAATATAACAGGAGCCTCTCGATGGAAGTATTTCACAGTTTCTGGCTCATGCCTACGGCCAAGTGTGATCTATATTAGGAACATTATTGCATATCCGTGCCCTTTTTGCAGCAAGGATTCCTGCAGTATTGGATTCTTTCCAGAAATTATACATATTTTGAGTATTTGATTTTCACAGTGACCCGGTTTCCACAACAGACATTTCTGCAAACCGGCTAAAAAGCGGTCATATATTCAAATAATGTTTTCCCATGTCGATCTCAAGTGGTGACGTGAACTTTGTAAGTTAATGTACTCCCTATTATTAATAAAGATTTCCTGAAAATCTTTATGGCATTTTTATCCCAGATAGGCAGATTTACCAATGATTTGCAGTCTTAAATACAATCATTTGATTTAGAAGTTAATTTAAACAGATGTGTTTTCCTGGCACGTGAAGCACATTTCAAACATAGAGGCCCGTTATTGCTGCTTTTATGTGACGCAGAGTAATCTTGCATGCCTTTGGGCTGTATGAAAACAAAGTACTCAAGGGCACGTGGTAGAACTATGACAGTGTCTTGGTCACACACTCGGACCAAAAGAAAGCCACTAAGCCACTGCTTATGTCGGGTATAATATCAAATACTATTTTGTTCTATTAAAAAAAAATAATTAGCAAGTTTTGCCTACCTGCAAAGTAAAGTGATCAGTATCTTGTCAAGGACAAAGCTCTACCTCAACCAGGCTGGGCCAATTTAGCCGTGTAGGATTAAACGCTCACAATTGGTTTTGTGAAGTGTCACAACAATTTCGACACGGACACATGTATGTTAGAATGATTAATTTTGATCACTCCTTTCTGGATGATTGTTGCCTACATCACCGTGCTGAATGTAAACAGAGTCTGTTAGGAAGACAGTTCTTGCAATTTCTGATGAGGGTTTCTATAAAAAAAAAAAAATTACAGAATAGACTTGTCCCGAAACCTTGATGGCATTTAGAAAGTATACAGTTTAGCCTGCATATTGTGAAACATATTCCGAGAGATATATTTTGCGGTATATAGGGCAACGAAGTGCACATTCCATAATTTTATATACCATAATAAATACTTTATGTTAAATGCACAACCACGATTTAACTTTTAAGTCTGGCACTAAGCTGCAGCAGTACTGGTACTTTAGCTCAATTTGTGACAGTTCTTTCATATTACCGTAAGCCAAAGGTTCAAAAGTTGACCCTTTTGGGTAGTATCCTCCCTTAAAGAGAAAAGTACCACGCGTCCTGCTAACGGCGACAAAAGGGCGACTGATCTGCAGAGCTGCGCATTGCCTCTGCTTTTATATACAGAGCATTCAGGAATGTTCTGTACCAGAACACACGACGACAGCCAAAAATGGGCTAAAACTTTGTAGAAGAGTACAGAATTACAAAAGATCTGGGCCGAGTAGGGTTTGAACCTCGTTCCTCAACACGCCAGTCATGTGCCTTGCCAACTTCGCCATGCACCCAGAAACACCTGTGAAGGGGCTGTGCTATGTTGACTTTAAAGATTTTATATAGAATGTGAAGTAATATTAAGATCTTCCCACTTGCAAGGAATTACCTTTTGCCGACAGGAAAGGCCAGTTCGTATACATTAGAGTACTATGTCAAAACAAGGGACAGCACTCATGCAATGCTAACTTGAATGAACTTAGCATTGACGTAGCACTGTGTAATTGCTGTATCACTAATATAGCACAAATTTAATTGACACTATTTCTAGTGCTAATAGTGCTGTGGTGTATGTGTGCAAGCAATCTAAGCACACCAAAGTTTGTATCTGCATAACCTGGACAGTTATGGACAGCTTTGTTGGGATTCATCTGCAAGCTATATGCACAAAATTCACAGTTAATGCATTGTATCTGGTTTGCATGAACACTTGGGAAAACTTAAATTGGGTGGATTGTTGACAGCTCTTTGTAAGTTTCTAGTATAACCTTGAATAACCCTTACTGTGTTAAATAGGCGAATCTAGGAAAACTAGTCTATTTTACCCAATATTTTCTGGACCTCCAAATGATCGAAAATAAATCAAGATACTGCACATCACAATGATTTCATAAACAAACCAGCAGCCACTTTGACACATCTTGCAGGTGGCTTTTCATATCTAAATTGACTTGCAGATGGTGCTGAATTTCACACATGCAGTGCATCAAAACTGCAGCCACTTAGTACACATCGACTGCCCGTTTTCACACACAAGCAGAAATGTGCTTAAGACAGATTTGGAAGGGGGGGGCACAACTGACAACCCAGATACTGAAAGCAAAATGTGGTATGAAAAGCTTCCGGTTTCAGGGTCACCCTAGACCAGGGGTCTCAAACATGCGGCTTGCAACTCGCTGGAACGCTAACCACCTTAGCCCCTCCCTCAAGCGTCCCGTGGCTGCGAGCCTCCGTCCCCATGTCTCGAGCACTCTAGAAATGGTAGGCATTATAATGGTCTCATGTCATCGATCCTTCCATTTTTGTTTGAAACGCTTTGCACAAACATATTTGCTTGTTTGCAGTGAGCATTGCTGCACCTTCATCTTTGCATCTTGTCTGTTTATGCTAATCACCTGTCAGCAATCCCGCTACCAGGCTAAAAGTGCGAGCCCCTTGGTCAAGGACACACCTCGGCTACACAAACTGTCGCGCGACAGGAGCGACTGCGAAAGCTAGGAGTTCGGGCATCTATCCTTCGCTGTTGCAAATCTTGAGGTAAAATGATGCATAGGTGACCAGAAAGTATTCTTAAAATGGGAGTGTTATGTTGTTTTTATAAAAATCACAAGGAAATTGAAAACTGTCGTATGAGGAAATATTTGGTTGCTTTGTTGAGACTTCTCGAACTCTATTGATTCCCCAGCGAGTCTAGAGACAGGGCAATGGCACTGTACCCTCTTGTCCTATTTAAAATTGGCAGCAAGTTCTTGGGGTGCCATCTGAAATCTTATTATCACGTCAGGTATGGGTTCAAAGTACTATAAACAATTCAAAACTACAGATGTTACGGGTGAAACGACGACTTTAGCAGAAGCAGAAAACTTTGAAATCCCTTCTCTAAAAAATTTCTGGGGTCGCAGATACACTCAGTTGCTTTACAATGTGAAGCACCGCTGTACCCCCCACCCCCCCAAGTTGAGTTGGTCCTCAACCTTTCGGCGGTCGGCTATCTGGCCGCCATACTAAGATGAGCTTGAGACCCCTGTCCTAGAATAGGGTAATTTGACAACCTCAACACTATTGCAGTTTTAGCCTGACTTCAGTCCATGGACAATGCAGCATTTTAAAAATTTAGCCAGTACTGTAACATGAATTGGAGAATGAATCCAAACTGTGATTTTACGTAAATGTATAACCTTGTCAATTCATTATTTTTAGGTATTTGTAATTATATATGTTTAGAAAGGAAGAACAGCTCTTATCAACTATAACATCAATTGAGAAACTCTTATGAACTATATAAATATGTCCATTTTTATAATCAGCGCTTCACTGTCAAAGCTACCTTTCTGTCAAATTTTTTACCATTGACTGGACTGTCTTTTTCATGTATTGAAATTGCTGTGCTGCTTTTTATGTAAAAAGTTACCATTGTAGCTCAGAATTTTTTTTTTCTTGTGGATTGTTATGGCAAGGGTTTACACTTACATTGCAAGTTTCTCTTGCATCTATAGTGTGCCATTGTGCTACTTCTAGTATATTCCATACTGAAATAATACTATTAATAAATTTAAAAAAAATCATCATTGTAGGAATTTTTGCAAAATTATACTTTTCTCATTACTTTTCTAGAATCACTATAATATGCTTTCTAACATACACTCTGGCAGGCACATAGCAGACCATATGGGAAAACCAGTCTTTCAATTTTTGACATCCACATTTCTTTTAGCAAAAGTAACTCATCATGCAGATATTCCAGATGGTCACCATAGGGTTGGACCACCAGAGCGGTGGAGGGGTTTGACATGCCCGCAATGGCTTGCTGATCAGTACCTGAAAGTTTGGGAACCCCTACATTATAGGGTACTTCATATAGTAGCTGCTTTGGCTTGCATCCTCGAACACTAGTCTCATAAGTTTTCATTACTGAGAAAGGATGGAAAGCAAACCTATCTTAGAAACCTGAGGGGGCACTATTTTGAGAAGTATTTTCGTTTTGAGCACACCCTAGCAGCCTCGAATTTTGTGCCCTAGCATTTTAAGCTTGGAAGATTAACAGAACTTGTCCTAAAGTTGACACCAATCAGGGTTCAGTTTCTCAAGTTCCAACATCTTGACAGGTTCTGTACACCTCCATCTATATGTTGCACAGCGATTCCAGAACACAGCCAATGACTAGGGTGCATGTTGCTCAGATGTGTAATTGGTCATTATTGCAGCAATCAGAAGGAGTAGTATCAACACCTTCAGATTTTATTCTCCTGAATGTCTGTACAGGGAGTACACCTCAATGCCCAGGCAATGCAAGAACTTCCTACCCTAGCTGCAGAGTTCCTTCTCGGTTGCAAACGTGGGTCATGAATCCAATTCATATTAGGAAACAATATTCTACAGCAGGGTAAATAGTTTTCTTAATGAATGATGATGAATAGCCTGAAAGCTTTTGTTCTTTGAGCTCCAACCAGGCTCTTAGATTTTGAGGCACTAGATCTACTTGCCTTTCCAACAGAGTTGGTTGATCAAGTTATGGTTGCAGAAACCAGAGTTTACAAATAAAAAGTACAGTTTGAACCCACCTTGTATAGTTTATTTTTCTTTTTGGGATACATGGATTTTTCTAAGTAAAAAAAGTGTAGAATTGCGTTATAACAAAATGTCGTCATAAATTTCTAGTTGCCAGTCAAATCATTGCTTGCACAAAAAAAAAAAAAAAAAGTCTGATTAACACAGTACACTGAGGTGTCCTCAGCCTCCCAAGGGATGAAAACATTGTGCAGGTAACAAGCTCCCAAACTGAGAATGCTGGGAGCCAATGACTAGACCTGAACAACCACAGAGAGAACACCATTATCTGTCATCCTCTTCCGCTTCCATAGCTGGTAGTGCTGATGACGATTTTCTCCTTTCTTCGTCCCAGACAAATTGGTAGTTTCTCTCAAGCCTTTCATGTTTCTCAATCTCTTGGACAGCCTCTTGGTTACCCATCTGAGGGGAGAATTAAAACCAAATTAAGCTCACAGTTTCACAGCCTTTGCTTAAGGCTTGTATAAAAATTTCTTCATGACTGGTGCGAGATTTTATTTTGGCAGGTTCAATGTTTTGCAATGTCAAGCCTTGCCAGAGTATTATTGGAATTATTTCACCAAAGCAAAACAATGAAAATAACAAAATATCTAGGCAAGGGTCTCCAAATCACAGCTATCAGAGAGTGCAAGAACAATTTTTAACTGTCAATGCTCCGAGAGCTACTGACTGTATCACCTCAGAAATATTTTCCCGTGTTACAAGAAAGGTTGCTCACAGATGGTGATAGGGTCATGAACTGCATTAGCTCGAGGATGCTGGACATGTCAAAAAAACAAAAGAGGGTCTGACAAAGAGCAACGTCCTAGATACAATGTCTCACTTGTGTACAAGGCTTCAATTTGTGCCATCAACCACTGAAGAAAATAGAGCCCGGAAGAAGTATACCTAGCTGATATAAACAGTCATATGATCTCCTAGGACATATGCAGGTACTCAAGTGCTGCAATCAAGAGTGCACAAAAGAACTGGTGCTTACACTTGATTTGAAGATTAAACAAAGGGCATTACCATCTGGCCTTTGACACACCTGTACTGCCTACGTAACATATTGGCAGTTCATGTGATTAAATAAAGTAATTACATTACATAATCTTGTCAACATATATTTATGGCTCACGAGTTCATAACTGCTGGTTCCATTTCAACTCCCACAAAACTAATGTATTCATTTATTGCTTGTTAAATTGAAAATTTTGGGACTTCCTTGAAAATTGCATTGAAATTCATCCATCCAGCCATGAGGGTCTGCTGATGGTGCCCTTACTGCTGGATGAATGAATCTGACTCGCAGTTATGGCCACCCTTTATCATTTAAGGCACGCCTCCCCAGGTCTGGTGCTGCTCTCAAAGTGGATGACCCTTGCCTGCCTTAGTCGAAAGCCCTTCATGGCTCATTTTCATAATTCCGTCTTTTTTGCCTGCACTACCGTAGAATACCGTGCATCCGCCCACACCACACTAGGCGCCCATTCCCAAATTTGTAGGATCTGAGAAAATACAGAAAGTACATTTATATGTAAAATTGATGAGCGAAGAACGGACCATCCCCGATTTTTTGACGATTATCTCCAAAGTTTGAGTGGGTGCTTGCTCGGTATTTTACGGTAAGTGCTCGGCATGTCCCGTTTTTCGCAATTCTGCTGGTCAATGGACCGGTTTCACAAACTATGTTCACCAATGTGTGACAACCTCGCTGCTCCTGTGCAGATGCGGTCTCATGCCCTGGCTCCTGCCTCCTGTGGATTAATGTGATGGCAGCATTATGCATGCTTGGTGAGATCGGCCTATTGGATTTTTCTGTCATGGAAGGGATTGTTCCATTGAAGTTCTCTGTCTCATCTCTCTCAAGGACATGCTTGTCACACTGGAGACCATAGATCGAAACCCAAATGGTAGAAGACAGATATAGCGTTTGCACCTTCAGGGTCATTCCAACCATGATTTGCAAAGACGCAAAAGAGGAGCGGTGAAGATTGACATGTCTGTCGAAAAAGCTTCCTAAATAAGAAAAAGTATGTATAGCTCCCAAAAAAAATAAATTTTTTTTTGTGCATTAGGCAACAATTTCTGTATATTTCACAGGGATCTGTGAACTACAAGCATGCAATAGTTGCTTTCAGTTTCTGTTACCTATTAGCCGAACAAGAGTGTTATCAACTGTTGTTTTCCCAAACCCTTGTTTTAGTTGGCTCAGAAATGTAATAATGCATTTTTCAGCAGAAAATTTTATTTCCACACACATATAGACACACACAGAATATTTTCTATTAGGAGAAAGAGAGCAAGCACTTGAACACAAAGCACCTTGTAGGATCAAGGCCTACTTTGTCAGAAATAAAGCTTGTAGCAACTTCATCTATGACAAATTAGCCAATTTCAAATTATAATTTAAACCAAAATACCCTTCCTAAAAGGCCAAATGAAGCGGAACAGAATTGCCCATTACCTCTACTGAAGAATTTCACGAAATCAGACCGAAGGCTCATTTCATAAATATGACCCCTCTGCCCAATTTGCAAAAAAATTGGGGCAGCAAAAATAAAAGGTTTTCAAGTAGTATCTCCTTCCTTCACCCTTCTACCGATTCAGGCTTATGAGACTGCACATCAGCTGCACCTATGTTTAGATGCACAGATACCTAAACAAATGGACTTTCAGAATCATAAAAATATCCTGAAAAAATGAAAGCCGTTTACAACTCCCTGTAACGCCGAATTAGAGCGCAGCTCTTGAGGAGGAGTGAGTAGGGAAGGGTACTGAGGGGGAGGAGGAGGGAAGAGTATTGAGGGGAGGGTAGACCCCTCCCCCTTCTCATCCTCCTCCCCTCATTCTTGAATATGCTCCGGGGGGGGGGGGGGGGGGGGGTCACCTGACCTCGGGGGGAGGGGGTCACGTGGCCTTGGGGGAGGAGGGCGTCACGTGACTTCGGGGGGAGGGGGGGGAGGGGGAGTCACGTGACCTCGGGGAGGGGGAGTCACGTGACTTCGGGGCAGGGGGGTCGCGTGACCCTGGGGGAGGGGTCACGTGACCTCGGGGGGGGGGGGGGGGGGCACGTGACCTTGGGGGTGACCTTGGGGGGTTCACGTGACCTCGCGGTTACGCTGACGCCGCTCAAGCTGGAACGGGCCCCTAAGAGCTGCGCTCTAAAAAGTGAGTGGGCATTGAAAAACAAGCACATCAGTGGAATCCAAGGTTGTCAAGGAGTCAGATGTTCTATACTTACCAGCAGGGTGACAATCATGTTTTGAAAGTGTGTGGTTTCCTCTGGTGAGAGAACGGTTATGCCCTTGTTATCTTCATCATCGTAATACCCTGCGGTGATTATCTTCACCTCTATTTTTCGTCCTGCCAAGGAAAGGTAAAGAAGAGGGGTGGTCTTTCTCATCATTCACTAAAAGGTATGTTACAGCCTCATCTGCTTTTTAAAGCAGGTGACAGCTCATAGGAAACAAAAAATGGAAAACAAGGGATGACACAAGCACATAAACTCATGTCTCATTCTTCGTATGTTCCTTATTTTTTATATTTCCACCGACACGCTCATCAGTTCATTTATATTATATATATAATTAGCCGTGTTTCCCTTGCAATAGAGCTGCCAAATAAGATCTGATGTGGTGGACTATTCATAGCATGTTCAAGGACAATATACTTGCATTGAAGGCTGAGCCACGAAAGGAGATGCTTTGCTTTTTGAGGTCTATTATGGTTACCCCCATTTCTTTCAGGAAAAATAATCCAGGCAATTTTTGTCCATATTTCGCACAATGAAACACAAAAAAACTGAAGCATAGTCTTGCTGTTAAAAATGAGATTTTTCATGTCTTTGAAATAAAAGATAATTCTAATGGATGTAATTGTTAATTCATTATGCAGGTAAGGTTTCATGTTTTCTAGATTTATTTTTAGTAGATTTAGAGGACATTTTTTTTTACTAGTGACTTGATGTCTAATTAAATTTACAAATCTCCACAATTCAAACATTATTTCTTTTGTAGAAATCCCAATTCTTTGAAAGTTAGGTCCAAAGCAATAATACCCAGATGCAAACATACTGCTAATTTCATGGTACCAATGATTAAAAATGCAATTCACAGACTAGGGGACAAGTTTTCTTGTCATTTTCGAGGGGAGGAGCTAGAGCACAGCTTTAGTCTGCTTTCAAAATGAAAGGGGGCACGCGTGGCCGTACCCTTGACCGCATTGGCAAGACTATATACGCAAGAGTTTTTTAGGTGCATGTGGCATTATATTTGCAGCTTATCTACGATTCTAAAGGACTCCTTGTCATTGCTGATATTAACTGTCACACTAAAAAAGTTGCAAGCAAGACGCTTCAGTATGCTGAGAGGCTTTCACCTTTTCTCCAACTCTCTAAAAGCTCTACATCAAATCTTCATTTCACAGTTGCAGACACCCCAGAAAGTGCTGCAGCTGTGCAGATTTGAGCTCAAGCTGTAATGCACCAAGTACTGTCGTGAGCGAAAGTCTGGACAACACGGGAGCGGGGACCGAATTGCATCGCCGCGCTCCCTGACGGCGCGGCGCCTGGTGCCGAGACCCGCGCAATACGCACGCGCGTCCTTTCTTATCTGCTGGCCCACTCGTTCGCTCGCTTCAACGTGATGCGCTCCTGAGCGATAAAAGGGCGCTAGGTGCCGCCCTGGGAACCAAGATTCCGAGAGCCTCGCTCACCGCTCTGGACGAGCTCGCGTGCTCCGCGGCAAGAAACCGTTCGCGCATATATCTTTCCCGCCACTCGGCGACGCGTTAAAGACTGTCGCTTCCCTCCATTCGTTATTTTTAAACTTCCCATCCTAAATTTGCTCCGGCTACAATGCAAACATGGTACTGGCCAGAAATTCTTAGCATGGTTGTTCGCGAAGTGACCTTAAAATGTTCAGTTTGACATCAGCTGTGATAACTTGTACCGAAAGCCATAAAATAAAGCGGCTATGCAACGATTTCCGGTCAATGGCCAAATAATTATAGGAGTTGTTCTCCGACACTTCTAAAGTAAAAAACAGAAAAGCGATTTAGTCTGTGTGCCCTAATTATAATTTTAAACAATAACAAAGATTCAAGTTTCCGGCACCCCTCAACTCTCCGAATGACGTGCTCAGTGACGTCGACGTGAGGATGCACCGGTTCCCGTGCGATTTCCCCAAGGATGTTTACTCTTTCTCTTTCTACTGCTCTTCGTTAGGCGTTGAGCTTCAGCGATCCCGCGTCATCGTCAAGGCGCGTTTCCCATGGCCGCCGCGCACGGCTGCAGAGGGGGAAATATTTTCATTTCTGCTTTGCGATTAAACAACAGAATTGCAACATTTTGCAGGAAAGTGGTGCTTTTTCGATTCTTTCTGACGCAATCAACAATATAAAAATTACAAGCAACTCAAATTGAGCCAGCGCCTCTTTTTCCTTCGTTTTGTTTCTTGTTTTTTCTTGGGAGGGGGGTTGAATAAATATTTCTTTCTTATTTGGTGTTTTCTTTTTGCTCGTCATTCACCACTTTACCGCGCGTGCATGATCACTCGGAAGCAAGCCCAAGACTACATCGAGTACGCGAATACAAGTTCTACAATTCATTGCGGCTGCATCAACATAAGCGACAGTCTTTAACGCGTCGCCGAGTGGCGGGAAAGATATGCGCGAACGGCGCGTGCCGCGGAGCAAGCGAGCTCGTCCAGAGCGGTGAGCGAGGCTCTCGGAATCTTGGTTCCCGGGGCGGCACCTGGCGCCCATTTAATTGCTCAAGAGCGCATCGCGTTTAAGCGAGCGAACGAGTGGGCCAGCAAATAACAAAGGACGCGCGTGCGCATTGCGCGGGTCTTGGCACCAGGCGCCGCGCCGTCAGGGAGCGCGACGATGCAATTCGGTCAACGCCCCCGTGTTGTCCAGACTTTTGCTCACGACAGTACATAAGCTGTTGCTGAGAAAGGGGTAAGGAGAAGAAAGACCTCTGGTAGCAGATATGATAGAATAAAACTATAAACATGAGTTATGTACAAGTGTAAAGGGTATGAACATAAGTTCGATGAAATAAAATAAAGTCACTGTTGGTGTAGAAGACCGACTGCATCGAAAAAATTTTAGGCATGAGCAAATAGAGAATTTTGGGTCCGAATCGAATTCAAAGCGAATAGTGATTTTGGTCGAATAATTTCGAATCGAATAGTTCGAATAGTACAAGCAAAAAATACTACAAGATATGTTTAAACTATAGTTTTATATTTGCCCTTATTTGGTATTAGATATACTGTAATTGTTAATTTCAAGTGTATTGAGTTCAGGAGCACGAAAGGGTCGAAACGGTCGGAAGCTTGCGCCACCTGGCTATAAATCCAAGCCAGAGTAAGTGAAACCCGTTTATATCGAACTCGCAAAAAAACGTTTACCAGTTCGATATAGCGGGTAATTCGATATAAACATTTTAATGAATTTGACTCTCAAAAATCCACTTTCTGCTGAAATATTACACAATGAAGTAGTCTTGCAGCTTCAGATGCTTTTTCTTCATTGCATCCGTAATAACAATATTTTTCTACGCTATCGAGGGACTCCGAAATGCTGAGGCCGCTGCCTTCTATAGTTGCGCATTAGCGCCGAATTAGCCGAGAGCATGGAGCTCATCCAACGGGAGCACCTACTGAAGAGCACCGTTTTGCTCTGCAGGTTGGCTTCCCCCTAAAACAGGTGACCTCGGGGGAAGCCAACTAGCAAAGCAAGCTGTTTTTTTTATTTTTTATTCTTCTTCTCAGGGCGGCCGCGTCAATTTGAAGAAAAAATATGGAATTGTAGTGGACCGTTTTTCTTTTCTGCTACGATATCCGCCAAGAAAACGCCGGCCTTATCTGCATAGTTCAAGATCTTGTGGCAGATTACGGAGCGCTATCCGGGTGCTCAACGGGCAGCGGAAACGGTCTACTACAATTCCCCAATAATAGGGAGTTGTAGTAGATCGTTTTTCTCCACCGCTACGGTATCTGCGAAGAAAACACCGCAGCTGCGTATGCGCGCCGCCAGCCTTGTCTGCATAGTTTAAGGTCTTGTGGCGGATTACGGAGCGCTATCTGGGTACTTAGCAGGCTGCGGAGACGGTCTACTACAACTCCCTAGTATCCTCTTTTGCGGACGGAGCGGGGAGAGGGAGCACGGAGCACCTTCTCTCCGCAAAAAATATATTTTCTTTTCTTCCGCGGAAAAAAAAAATCCAGCGTGCTCTGCAAGCTGGCTTTCCCCCAATGCGTCCGCCCGCGTTGGGAGAAAGCCAGCTTGCAGAGCAAAACGGTGCCCTTGGCAGTTCGATATATCGGTAGCGGCTGCTATTTTTGTTCAATGCGACCATAGTTTTTGCTATATTTATCACTGTAATTGTTCGATATAAGGAATAATTGGATGTAAACGGGTTCAATATAGTCGGGTTCAACTGTATTAAGAAAGGTTGAATAATTCTATATAGTCGAATAATTCTATATTGTCGAATACTTAAATTCGATTCGAAGCGAATGCCGAATAGAACAGAATTCGATTGGCTATTCGTAATAACCGAATATTCGCCCATCCCTAAAAAATTTAAAACGCAAAATAGCAAGACAAAGGTTTGTTGAAAGTAAAATCAACCAAATTTGCAACTTTAATACTTTTGCAAAAAATTGATCAGGCGAATACATCACCCGATGACCCCATGGGAGAAAAGAATACAAAGCATATCACTCCAAATAGCAATATTTCGTGGCTGCGAAATATTCCCCGAACCCACACTTCGCAGATTTCGAGAAATATTATACTGACAAAAACAAAGTCGTTCCCAGTATGTAAACATATCAGTCTGCATCACAACGCTCAGTTGCTTCTCAAGTAGTATATTCAAAATAAAACAAAGAATCATCCAGGAAAGGGTTTTAATTCCCGAGAGACTACACAAACCACTAAACCGCTCCCAAGACACAACTCGTGCCAAGAAAGTGCGAGCTGAACAGGAGTCGGTACTACAAGCACCATTTCTGCTACAGCCTCGACGAGGCAAGTGCCATCGGTAAATAAACAAATGAAGCTCCCACGCACCGGTTGTGTCCACTCCAGCCTTCTGGAGTCGCTCCTTGAGGGCACTCTCCAGCCGTGACTTGTCCTCCGCGGGCAGGTCCTGCTCCTGGAAGGAGGTGGCCCTCTCGCCTTGGTCCGTGGGCTTTCTCCTGCTGAAGCGCCGGATCCTGACCCGCACACTGCCTTCCTTGTCCCGGGCATCCTTGCCCGACGATTCTTCCAAGGAAAGGGGGCCGTCCTCCAGACCTGGTGGCCAAAGACGGGCCAGTTCAGCGGCAGACGAGTGCCCGCCACCTCTCGTCGTGAAATGGACGGGCGACTAGAACTATGCTGCCTGGAACGCATCTCCAACCGCTGCGCTTAGTGTCCCATTCCGCCCACACATCAAAAGCGGTTTTCCAAGTGGAACAAATGACATCGCAAGAGCAAGAGCATTGTGAGGTGGAAGATGCAATTCCTGGCGGTTTCGGCAAAAAGCACGAGGGAATGTAGACGTCGCCGTCGTCGTGGCGTCCTGACTCCTGGCTGCCGGAGCCTTCCATAGACTGCCGAGTTGGAGGGCGACCTGGGACAGGACAGGCGTCAATTGTGTCGACCCCTGCTGCCGTGCCAACGGCAGGATCATGGCAGGCAACGTCAACGCTACTGCGACGTCGTCAAGAGAAAATCGAGGGACCGCTTTTCGGGATGCGGTAAATGCGCCCGTCGGAGATGTGTTCCAGGGACCGTGCGGGGCGTTAAGCGTGACGTGACATTGCCGAAGATGAAGTATTATGCTGTGCCGAAGCGACGTTATGTTCCCGGTTAATGTGGGTTGTAAAGTTGAGCTCTTACATTATTGCAAAATTATGTCGCAATTCAAAAATCGTCGTGCCCATACTCCGTGTCACATTACAACAGATTGTGACGAACGGCGTGAGCCATCCCAGTCTATTCGCCACTAGCACTGATGGAAGTGGCATTTGACGTTTTGGAGCAGGTTCTGTAGCAGGCCAAATATTTGATTGGAGCAGCCACTGATGCTCTTGGAGCAGATGCCAACATGTGCTAGCATATCACTTGATAAAAAAAAAAAATTTATTGCATCGCTAAATGAGTTTACATTTGATAATGACTGAGGGTTTCTCTTTGATACTGGAGCATATTACTTATTACCTTTTGTAATAAGAACAAATAAGGTGCAAAAGGTACATAGAGCTTTATTTTTAGAAATAAGGCTTTGGTCAGAGTAGGTTCAATGTACAATGGGTAATAAAAAAAAATATGATAAATGAATCACACTTCAGCTAGAATAAAGCCTCCGTCCACTCCCATCTTTACACCCCATAGTTTATTTAGCCTGTAAGTATAACTTTTGTAAAATGCCACCAGAAACCAACTACTTTACTTTAGGCTACACTTCTACTTTAAGCTGGTCTGTTAATTTAGAGAATATTATAGCAAAACTGCCTTGTAAACTATGGAGTCTTCGAAGGACCATCCGACATTGTACCCCAGAAACCAAGCTTGTTGCATACACTACTTTCATTCGTCCATTATTGGAATACACAGACATTTTATGGGACCCTTATTCACAGTCATTGATTGACAAACTTGAGGGAGTGCAAAAAAAGGCACTGCGATTTATATATAATGCATACAGCATGCATACGTCTGTGTCATCCCTTTATGCGTTATCTAGATTAACTCAGTCATCAACCCACAGAAAAGTGAAGCGTCTGAATTTTTTGTATAAATTAATACACAATAAGATTGGAATGAAGTTCGAGGACTATCTGGTGTACAATCTCAGTTGAGTCACACGGCAGAAGCATGAAAATCTTCTTCGAGAGTATCAATGTAGAAAAGGCATTTTTAACTACTCTTTTTTTCCTAGACCTGTCCGAGACTGCAATGGCCTCCCTCACAACATTACAAGTAGTGCCACCAGCGCCTTAGATGGAGTTCTGAATCCATTTGACTAATCATTGCCAAGTGTTACCTCTGTTTACTGGGAAGCATTTGTACTAGTATATGCCTTCCTCTTTTTCTCAAATATGTTTTTTGAAGCCATGTATAACTAGAGCTATGCTGTTGTATATGTCACATATGTACTCACATGCCTTGGCCCACAAATGTAGGCCAACATTATTCAAATAAAAAAAATTGCTAACACCTATCAATAAAAATGCGCCTTCCAAATTTTATCGTTAACAAAATCAAGACTTGGATATTATAAACTGAAAAAGAACGAACAACCACCTACAAATATTAGGAAAACCTACTGTTGCGCTTTAAAAGTGAAACTGTTATTTAGCGCCATTGCAACCAGGGCAAAGTGAAAGTTTGCTGCTCTTTCGATTGACAGCTGCGCGGGAACAACATTTATTCAAATAAAGCACCGCATATTTTTTTCTTTCTTTCACGATGCAGCATTTGAAAACGAGATCATATAATCGAGATCAAAGAATATGGACCTTCAATAGTATTGAGCATAATTAGCATGTACATCATGCTAAACCAGACGCTCACCCATGCCAGCAGCTACTCTTAGCACTTCGGTGCAAGGCAGTGAAGCTCGACACGCGTGGGCTGGTGAGAGGCTCCATGGAGGCATATGGCAGACACAATAATCGAGCAATCTCACCCGGAGCGCAAGAGGCTGGTTCTGTCTATTGCAAAAACTGCCATCCTACTATTTTGCAATGTTTTCTCGCAACTTTTGGCTCCTGACATCGCCGGATGTCAGGAGCCAAATTTCTCCTGACATCGCCGGATGCCAGGAGAAATTTGAGAGGATGTCGCCGATCAAGCAGCCGGCGCATCAACCGGCCAGCGTGCTGGACAAGCTATCTTAAAACTTCGTTTGACTTTATTTAAAACGCAGCCGACGCTACGAACCAATGGGATCATCTTCCTGAATGGGACCATCTTCCTGTGCGTGTTCTTCTGTCGATTAAACCAATCAAATGCAGCGAATGTCCCATGACTTGCGCTTTTACTATGACTGTTCGTGTTGTATGTGTTCGAGCCTGCAGCTGTGTTCTGACCCAAGATGAAACAACCTAAATGGCGAGTAGAGACACTGTGAAATACATATTTCTACCGTTTGCCTTTCCGCCTACTTCTCTGAATATTAAGGTCAACCAAGAATAAAATATATAAATTTTTGTTTTGCCCATCTCGCACAGGCGTGGTGCAATGCTTAGCCAAAATGGCACTGGCGCAAGATGTAGCAGACTTTCGCTCATGGCTCAATTTGGCGCAAATGGCACAGCACTTCCATCATTGCACTAGGAATGTACTACGTAACCGTGTGCCCCACGTGTTGCTGCACCCCTCCCGAAGGTCAGGTGACACTCACGTGGCATTGGAATGCCTTCGATTGTCGTAGCATCCTCTCAGATCCATCGCCATGTGGAATGGAATATAGAAGAAAATCGATTTTCTACGCATCACCATGGTTTTTATCTGACTAACACAAGCTTCGATTTTCCCCTTTAGATTAAAGAAATAGAGTGCAAGCCATAATTATTAATGATGCCACGAGAAGCACCATATAGAGTGAGGATAGAAGATGCGGCGAGCACTACCGACTTAATAAAATAGAGGAAGAGGCATGAGAGTGTTCCATACCACTTTCTTCATCCTGCCCCTGACTTTCTCCAGAAGTATCGAGTTCCTCCCCCTCTTCGCCTGGTAGGGGCTCTGATGCTTCGTCGTACCCTGAATAATAACGAAAAATTTACTAAATAAGAACTAGAAGTGTAAAGGCATGTACTTCTTCAATCCTGAAGGAACACTTATTTAGATGCATGGAACAGATTCCCATACACAAAAACACTCCTTAACTTCTCAAGACCGAAATAACCTGTCGCTTCATTTTTTTTTTTACAGCAGAGCTGTTAAGGGCTAGTTTCCCCAGGATTGTGTCCGTCCTCAAATTACCCAATCACACAGAACTTTGGACAGCTACTGCCATCTATGAGCAACAGCAGCAACCAGGCAACCGGCTTGCCGGTTATCTGGTTGCTGCCATCGCTCATAGATGGCAGCATCCTCTCCAGCCTTTCTACTCTGGCTTGCCGACTTGTGGCCGGCCATTACTTCATTCCCACCATAGTACAGCTTCGCTAGTCTTCCTTCTTCACCATATGGAAAGGCTGAAAGTATTTTTTATTAATGTTAATTTTTCTTCGGGCGTATTATTTGCTCCCTCCCTCGTATCCTCTAATCTTTCTTGGGGCGTATTATTTGCTCCCTCCCTCGTATCCTCCCCTCTTTGAAATGGACCTCATTTTAATTGTTACCTGATTTGCAATTACCCATTTTGAGGTGATCCTACCTGCTGCTGGCTCTCCCCACCGCTGTGCTGTCCCAAAATCGGTGCTGTTCCCCAAAACGTTTAATCAGCTTTGAGGGAATTCAAAGGCTCAATTCCACACGACATACAAAATCGCTATTACAATGCAAGTTAGTGTGCGAAGGAGCAGTGCAAAGACATGTGTCAAGCACTAATTATACCTAATCAATCAGTTTCTTAAAAATGAGCAGCGTTGCCATTCATGCATGCTACCATCCTACCTTCATTGTTGTCCCCTTCCTCGTCACCTTCGGGAGAGTCTTGCTCTTTCTCCACATCCTGATGATGCGCCTTATGGCCTTTTCGATTTTCATCCAGGTCCACAACAGCCACCTTGGCATCGATCTCGTCTGGGACGAGTGCCTCGGCCTGCTTCATGCGCTTCATGAGTCGCTCAATAGTAGAGTCCAACTTCAGGTAGGTCTTCTCCTTGAACTGCTCGTAAGCCTCGTCCTGCAGCTCCCCTTCTGCCTCCTGAGAACGGGTGCCACAACAGCCGAGATTGAAAATCCACAAATGAAAAATTATATTTTGCAATAATTTACATTAGTGAAATTAGGGTGCCATGTTTTCGGGGTTTATTTCTCTTTTAAATCAGGGGTGTTTTTACTGGGTTTATTTGTTTCCTTCCGATTCAGTGTCTTTTGGTGTCACAAGAACAATCAATGTTTATCGGGACTAATGTTTCAGAAAATGAGACACGGGAATGGGATTTCCCAAACCTTCAGAAAACATCGGCTATGACCTGAATACTTAGAGAATGTATTTGTGCCTCAAAGAAATGAAATGGAATAGGGGATGTGGTTCCGAGGAATGAAACAGCCCCACGGTCAGTTCGCTATTTAAGGTTAACATAAAATCAAACTGCAAACCGAGATTTTCATCCCGCGTAGCTTTGGTTTTTTTTAGTCAAGGCCAGCTCCGATTCGGGGTTTTTCGGTTTTCACCGATTTTGATAAAACTGTCTCAAGGGTTAATTTTTCGGCGTTTATTGGTATTTACCGAAAATACAAAACCTTAATTATAATCTAGAATTATACTTCGCTTCAGCTGAAGTCCAGATGCAGCCGACGCTGCAAAGTAATAGGACCAATCACAATGCTTCAAAAGCGCAAGTCACTAGACCTTTTCTGTTTGTGATTGGTTCAGTGATGATGGAACACGTACAGCGCTGGCTGTGTCTGGATTCAATGTGGAACAAAGTATACAATGTTCTTGAGCGCACAAATTATGGATGTGCAGCAGAGCAACAGTACTATAGTGACACTAGCCTATACTCGCAGACTACTTTCTTTGGCTATGTAGTCAGAGTTATGGGCACATATGCGCCTATGCATCTTCAGCGCCCATTAAAGCTGTGCACGCGCACCCTACGCTTTTTCTGAAATGCCACAGAAAGTTGTCCATGAGCAAAGCAGCAGTGTCACAATGCATAAAAGGACCACCATGCTGCTCATAATTCAGCAGTCACTCTTTGAGTAGTTTGCCATGCAGACAGCACATGCACTGGCTAGCAGTTGCATAGTAATCGGAAAGTTTTCTGATTGCACAGCTATTACAGTAAAACCTCGTTAAGACGTAGTTCGACAAGGACGCGGATAAAGTACGCGCAAAGCGGTAGTACGGCTTAAGGAAAAATGACAAATACACACCACTTACATGTCAGAAAATGAAACTAGACACATTTCATAAAAGAAACCCAAACACAGCTATTTTATTTCACTCCGGACAACAGAATTCAGTAATTGCTGTTTGACGCCGTGCCGGCCTCGCAGCGCAAAGTGCGGCTTCAATCTGGAAGAACCAGCTCCTCCATCAGGCCCTTCTTCAGGGCAAACAGACGTATGACATCCAATGCCCGCGCGTTTCCGCAACTGTCAGACACGGCGTGTCTGCTACCCCGATGTCGTCGCCGTCTTCATCGCTTGGGCTGCAGGAGGGCACTTGGGGAGCAACAGAGGCAATAATGTCATCGTCGGACCAGTCCTGCGACGTCGCTGCGTCGTTGTCTTCATCTCGGAAAACGTCGAACTGTACACTTTCTTCAGCACCCTGCCGCTCCAAGACCTCCGCAAGAAGGCTCTCACAAGCATCGTCTTCAAGGGTGCAGCCTTCGTTGGTGTCATTCGTCTCACCGGTGTTGACCGCGCTCAGGTCGAACTTCACACGCCTGAAGCAGTTGCGCACCGTCGACGGCTCAACTTGCTGCCACGAGTAGGCCAGCACGTGAATTCCACTCAGTAAGTCGATGGCATAAGACTTATCGTTCTCCATCGAAAGTAGCATCCTGCGCAACAAGTTCTTTCTGCAAGTCTGCTTCACGGCACGGATTATTCCCTGGTCCAGGGGCTGTGCAAGAGCAGTTGTGTTGGGGGCCAAAAAAACGAGCTTGATTGCAGAGAGGTTCTCCACTTGGACATGAGCTGACGCGTTGTTAAGTACCACGACGACGTTTCTCTTTTTCGCAGCGAAGCGGCGATCAAGCAGACGCACATACTCTTCAAAAATCTTCACCGTCATCCATGCTTTTGTATTGCTTCGGTAGAGGACGCGCCGATGGCAGTCGGCCACCCTTAAAACACCTTGGCTTCTCGGACTTCCCAATCACCAGGAGTGGGGGCTTTTCACTTCCAGTCATGTTGACAATAAATGCAACTGAAATTCGGTCCTTGGCGTGCTTGACGCCCGTGTAAGCTTGCCCCTTAAAAACAAGGGTCCTGTTCGGCAGCAGCATGAAGAATAATGCAGACTCGTCCAGGTTAAAGATGTCTTCGGGGGCGTAGTCCGTCAAAATTTGCTGCAGCTGCCCGTTCTGCCACTCTTCTGCGCCATCCGTGTCTGCTGCTGCACCTTCTCCAGAAATGATTCTTGTGGCGATGTTGTAGCGTGTCCTGAACCTCGACAACCAGCCATTGCTGCAAACAAAGTCATAGTGGTGCAGGTGCGTAGCAAAGAACTGCGCTTTCTCGAGGAGAAGGGGACCACTGACCGGCAGGTTTTTTGTTCTTGCCTTCTTGAGCCACAGCACCAACGCCTCCTCGACGTCAGGAAAAGTCGATCCTCGCACGCGACACCGTTTGACATTGCTCGCTGCCACACTCATCAGCTTCTCTCGTGCGTTCCATACACCGCAAACGGTTGTTAATGGTAGTCCCCTCTCGCGTGCCAGCACCGATTTCTTTGTTCCACGCTCGATGGACTTAATAATATCCAGCTTCTCCTTGATGCTGAGAACATGGAGTTTTTGGCGTCTCGACATCGTCCCGTCCTTGCACACACAATGCACTCTCTGCACACTTGGATATCAAACGGCTGACGGATCGCAGAATACAAGCGTGCCCAAACTTGAGCGCCTGTAGCCTGAGCAGCGAGAGAAATCCCGATCAGAAAACCGCAACTATGCTCAACCAATCGCAAGTTCGGAACCTCCTGCGCAGCCCGCCATGCCAGCCAAGCTTGCGTTGCCTGCGACCGCGACATCAACGACGTAGTTCACCGCCCCTCCTCTCTCACTCAACTGCCGCCACTGGCCGCACTGGCACTGGTCCCCTGCCAGCAACGTTGCCGATGTTCGTTAGTTCGCCTGCTCAACAACGGCGAGTTGCGCGGCGCCAAACTCGTGCCCTTGCCCTTGGCCCTCGCCCTCACGCTGGGTCGGCTTCGGCTTCGGCTTCGCGTGTTCGCTCTTTGCTCCCCAGGCGAAAATTTCTAACTGGGACCAGTTGCCACCTAAACTGGTTTCAACTGGGACTATCTGGTACCAACTGGGAATCAACTGGGACCAATGGGAGTCCAACTGGGACCAGCTGAGGGGTCAACTGGTTTGAATCATTCCCAGTTGGGAGTTAACTGGTTTGAACCATTCCCAGTTGGGAGTCAACTGGTTTGAACCATTCCCAGTTGGGAGTCAACTGGTTTGACTGCCAGTTGGGAATGGAGTGAACTGGGACCAGTTAGGAAACTAACTGGTTGGAGCGATTCCCAGTCGGACTTCAAATGCCTTTCTCGTCCCCAGTTCACACGGGCAACAATTTTGACAAGTTGGGGGTGTATTGACCTTTGCTAATGAAGAAAACTAAAAACACTTACATTTTTAGATTTATACAAATAGGGAAATTTTTAATTACTGGGTACATTTATATATTAAAAAAAAATAATATAAAAATTTTAATTAACTAAATACTTTTTTAGTTGGAAAATATAATTAGTGACAAAATGTGTTCACCTAAATGAACATTTAGTGCGTTATTAAAATATATTATAACATTTGTTTAAATATTTACAGTATTTTTTCTTTCTTCTTTTATTATTAAAAGAAGAAAGAAAAAAATACTGTAATAAATTTATCTTTTGGCCAATCAGAGCTAGCCGGCCGCCGTGGCACGCGGGTGCGGATTAGCAGTACGCGCTGTCAACTGATGGCGCTGCCTATGCTGACGCCGGAGTCAGACGGACGCGGCCATCGCCTAAGTTGGCGTTGTCCAAGTTGGCGCCATCGCCCAAGTTGGCGTCGTTATGAAAATGTCAAAACTGCAGCTGCGCTTCTTTGGACCTAACTGTACACACACCATAATGGCAGCGGTGAACTTCGAGGATGGAAAGATGCAGTTCAGTGATCGGAGGGCGCCTAGGAAAGACCGTACGCACATAGGCCGGACGGAAGAGAAAACGCCGCGGAGAGCACAATGGCGAAAATGGCGGGAGGTCTACCTCGAATATGTTTGACTGTTGTGACAGAGATTGCAAGGTGGGAGCGCTACCGCATCCTATCAGGATTTCACCTGCGCAACGCGGGATCATGGGTGAGCACCTTTCTTCACGTGATGGGGAGAGAAGCTGAGGACGTCTTCACTAACAGACGCCAGCGGCCGATCTTCCTTCATCTCATGAATACTACCTCTGAAAAAGTGATTCAACCGTCGCAAGCAAGTGGCTAAACCCGGAGCGCGTACGTCACTGAACCTATTATTTAGTTTCATTCTCCAAGTTTTTGACAATAAAGTCTTGTCAACCTTCCATTTTGTGCCGTGTTTCATTGTTGCTGGAGTTGGTACCAGCGGTAACTGGGACCAACTCCAACTGGGACCAGTTGCAACTGGGACCAACTCCAACTTGAACCAGTTGGATAACTCCAACTGGGACCAGCTGCAACTGGGAATTGTTCCATAAACCAGTTGCAACTGGGACCAATTGGTCCCAGTTTAAAATTTTCGCCTGGGCCCGCTGGCCCGCTGGCGTCCGCCGTGGTCGTTGCTGCTGGTGCGCGGTGGTGAGCAGCTTTAGCACTGCCGCACGCCACAAGCGTGGCAGCAACTTCGAACTTAGTACGTACCGGGAAGTGAAAACAGTGCGCGTTGACCGGTAGGTATGCGACAAGCGACTACGCATTAAGCCGGCATTGAATGCATTAGGTTTAACGGGAGATGTGTCGGGGATCTGACTAAGCCACTTTTAAAGCGGAACTACGGCTTATGCGGGTACGTGGTACCAAGGTTTTACTATAGAACATTATTGGTGCACTATCAAGAAAAGGTTGCAAGACTATCAAATAAATTTTTCTATAGTTTTTCAATGGTCAAACTCAAAACCAGTTTAAAACTATTTTCACAGTTCTTTCACCGGTTTTCAAGCAGCCGTTCAAACGTTGTTGATTTCCGCTACATTTTCAATGTTTGGTCAACTGGTGTTTGACAACTCTCGTGTCTATTTCACAGTTCCGTACAACTATTCACTGGTGTCCAAATTAACCTAAATTTAATTATATGTATGGATTGAAATAATTTTTGTAGTTTTCTGATGGTTGCAACCATTGCAGGTTACCTAAACAATATATCAGTAGTCAATTTAGTGATAGTTTTACATCAGCACTCGCTCAGCATCTGTTTAGCGAATTCATTTCTGTCTGTCATAGGTGCCAGTGTATACAGACTTTGAACTTGATACTACTCAGCTGGTCAGTTTGGCAGAGAACTAAATATAGCAGTGTGCATATGAATATTGACTTAGATATTGTGTGGACTTCCTGCTTTACTCTTAACTCAGTTGCCAAACCGATTAGCTATCTTTAAGAGATGTCCCCAGGTTCCTAAAAGGTGACAAATCCGAAAAAATAATATTGACCTCATGTTTTTTAGGCTACAATGGGCCTGGATGAAGGTTCTTCATTGCAGAAGTACACACTGCTGCTGCTAACGACACAGGACAACAGATTTTGCAGTGTGTCTTATATTAAAGTTGCTCGATAGGTTTGCAATCATTCAGAAAAATCAGAAAGCAACAGCATCTGCCAAGAAGTGAAGATGTTCCCCCTCATGCATAAATTCATCATCTGTCACATAAGATTTCCATTAATGTTTGCATAATATTAAGTGTTCCTCTTAATACTGATTATTTGCACACAACAAAAAGGAAAGTTATTTGCACTCACCTCATTAAACAAATCTTTGAACTGCTTCGCAAAATCTTTCTTCAGGCTTTCCCTCATCAGATCTGCAGCTTCCTTTTCCTCATCCAGTAGCCCCACTTGTTCTTTACAGGAAGACAAGAATGCAGTACATTAGGCTGCATTAGAACCTCTCCTCTTCAATCCCACAAATAAATAGACAAATTCTTTTAAACACAAACAGCAGATGTATTTTTTCATATTTACCACTGAGACTTTTTAAGAATTAAAGTACTCCCGACAATTCTTTTTCTTGGCTTCCAATACCAATCTTGCAAAAAAAAGCTTGCCTTGCAGAAGCACAATATCCTCTTGTAGCCCATCATTTAGACAAAGATCACCGCAGGAAAGGAAAGAATGGTACTTTAAATGTGCTGACAAGACAGCTACTACCGCACTTCGTTTCACCGAACGATGGACCACAGAGGATACTATGAGCCATCCGAGCAATTCCAATGCTGTGCAGGTGCCCCATGCCCTCCGAAAAGAAGTATGGCACACGTGGGGCACGCAGCCACAAGATCATGGGCGTACCAAACGGGGGGGGCAAGGGGGGCGCTTGCCCCCCCAGCTCTCAGAGTGGGGGGGCAAGGCATGTGTTTTGCCCCCCCTAAAACGGCGATCACTGGGCAGGGTAAAGACTGGCCGGCGGCGCCCAAGGAATACCAAGGGCACCGCCTCCTGACCCGCGCGGGCATATTTTTAACATGCAGGCGATACAAACCCTAGCAACGGCGGTCACGCCGGATTGGCTGGTTCGTGGAGATAGGCGCTGCCGCCGTCAACATAGGCAGCGGATACAATTCGAGTTTCCGAAGCGGTAGCCTGACTTAGTGGTAAGATGTCTGCCTCATACGTATCAGACCCGGGTTCTATCTATGGTGTGGGCTTACTTCTTTTATTTTTTTTCCTCGAACATTTTGCTTTGTTGAGGCATTTGGCGATATTTACGACATTTTTTTTTTCCCGATTAAAACTGAAAAAAAAAAAAAAACGAATGTTGTTGACGAAACATCTCTGAACAAAATCGTATGGGACTCTATTTACGGCAGTGCATGGGGGACAGCGGGAATTGGGTTGCCGAATGGACGCCGCGAAGCGGTGTGTAGGGTGGGTTGCTAAGTGGGATAGTAGTTTAGTTATTAGCAGCCGCACACTGTCGCCGTGAAGCGGCGTGAACGCCAGCGCGGGGGTGGGTTAACGCGCTTCGAATGAGAAACGCGCCGTCCGAATCCAAAATTTAAGTTCCCGCGCGTTGCTGGGCAGCCAATCCGGCGTGAGCGTCGTTGCTAGGAGTCTATCGCCTGCGCCGTAAAAGGAGCCAGTGACCAGAGGCGCCCGGTGCGCGTACACAATTGGCCCTCTCCTCCCCTCCTCTTTTACAACGCGTACACACACACACGCTGTAAAAGTTAGTGATGGACCAAATCTGCCAAACTTCAGATACGGCAAAGTTCCGCACATGCCGAAATTTTGAAGGAAAGTTCGCAAAGATACAGCAAAAATTGGACAAATATCTGCGCACGCGCACGAACGCGACGGGGCCATGGATCGCAAATGGAAGCCGCGCAGGCGCACGGTTACCATCGCACAGTTTAGTACAACCAGCGATTACGGAGAGGTGTGGAGCAGGCGGCACGGCAACTGTGCGTTTGTGAGCTTTTGCGAGTGTGGTTCTCTTGAATATTTTCTGCCTCAAGAACAGAAAATCGACCAGTAATTTACGCAGTCCACTGCGCAAGTGACAAATGATGCGGTGCATTCTGGATAACGTGATTTTCATTTGACGTTTCCATTGATGCAACGAGGTAGTTGAAACATTGACTGACAACTGCACAATTACGCTCAGTGTGCGCAGCCCACTGCCGTCAAACGGGGCAGAGCCACAAGAGCTTGCCACAATGTAGGGGATGCAGTTGGCATCCTCGTCATAATGTAATACGTATTTTCTTCCTCATTTTCTTTCCTTTTTACGTACTTTCTGTAGTGTGTATATTCTGTACATTTATTTATCTGTTTTATTTTCTCATATGTGGTGGCGGGCTGGCAGCAGACATGTACAAGCTACTCAAATAAGTAATTAACTTAAATTACTGAGTATTAGCCTCAAAAGTAGTATGAGTAGAGTAGAAATTACTCAAATGGAGTAATTCACTTAATTACTAATTACCGTAAAAAAGTAGCAAATTACTTTTGAAGTTACTTTCATTTTTTTTTCTATGCTAACAAGGAAGTACTTACATAGGTTATGATGCGTTAGCGAAATTCTGCTAGCCGAATATAAAGTGGCTTGTGTTTTCACAGAAATGCTTTAATAGCTAGTTCTGCTTCTGCATGTGCATACTTCTTTTTGGTCAAGGATGTACTGCGGATGTATCATTTCACCTTTGAGGTTTAGCACTGCTTGAGCTTGATTTTGCAGACAGTGTTTTATTGCTCACAGTGTTGCGTAAAGTATGTCTAAAAACTACTTGGAAGTATAAAGTAAATGAGAGGTTATGTACTTTACGCAACACTGTAAGCAATCAAACACTGTCTGCAAAATTAAGCTCAGGCAGTGCTGAACCTCAGAGGACATCTCATAACGCACTTATTTGTATCGGTTTTATCGCCGTCGTTTCTTCACTCAGAGAAATGACCACGTGACGTATCGAAAGACAGCACAAGCTATACATGAGCACCAGATTAACTTCAGAGAGGGTGCTGCACTTTGTTACCTCCTTCGAGTGAGGATGCAGTGTGTGCACCTCCTGTAGTGGGCGATAGTTTCTATGTTGGGGAGAAGCGGGGACCAGTCCTTTCTTCAAAAGGGTCAAGTCTCCTTGAGCTTCGGGACTCAGAGTAACGCCGGTCTTCGGCGCCAATCCCGGAGTTACTCGGACTCGTTTGCGTCATGTCTGTTCGCTCCCCGCGCCTCGTAGCAGTGTTCTTGCAGTGGGGGGCTCGTTAAAATTTTTGGGGGTTTTGAACTATCCAAATCACTTTCTTCCTCCCCCCCCCCCCCCCCCCTTTTCCTAAGCCACATGCTTCCCCCTTTGCAAATATCAGCTGATCTTCCAACATCTTATCTCTGTTGATAGGCAAAACATCCACTAATATTCGAAAGTAATTTGTAATTTGGGCAAAAGTCGGAAAAGTAGTTAAAGTAAACTACTAATTACCAAAATAGAAATGTAATTAAAGTTATTAAACTACCCAGAAAAGTAGTTAAACTACAGTAACTTGAGTAAAATAGTTGAACTACGTACAAGTCTGGCTGGCAGGCGCTCTGCGTAAGGGTTTTTACCATCTGACTAGCCCCGCACACCACCACATGGGCCCCTTCCAGTATGTGCAACTAAAATTATTATTATTATCATTATTATTATTAAAACAATCCTGTTTTCGGCTCACAAGTAGTTTGTGCCAAAACAGAATAATATTGCTTTTTAGTTCGCGTTATTTCGGGATTTTCCATGTATCTGCATAAAACTAAACACATGACTATCATTTTCAACGTTGCACATTCGACATTCCTAACTCTCCCCAACTTCCTAAACGTCCGTGTGTTGTCTAACACCAGAAACCGGAATTTTAAAGCTTAAAAACGGCACGTTGCGAATATGGAACGCACACTTTCATGCAACACTGACGTCAAGTGACTCAAATCGAGAAACATTCATATTTACATTATTGTTATTTCTTCTGGTGAAGGTTCAGCAACCGTTGCATTCGTTTTCGTGCACGAAAGGGTGACTCCCAGAGAAAGGAAGAACGCAGTAATTGCCTTTATTTTAACAATGTAAACACACTTGCAGGCGTGCGCTGATGAAGCCTCGAAATCAAAACTCTCGAAGCGGGATTCGTGACTGCGCCGGCTACTAAGTTCTAACCAACCTTGTTGTCACGCCACTTTCTGCAAGCAAACACTAAAATTACTAGAAAACAGACAAAAGCGACACCGATACAATTATCTTGTAGAATATCACCTTATTTAGTCATAACTGTGTCAATGGGCACTACATGTATTTTCGCTAAAAAAAAAAAACAAAAAAAAAATGTTTTTTGTCAGAGGAACCTAGATATCAATGTTAAGTCTGGTAACAGTGTATTTTTGCCGAATCAGTGCGAAATCTTTAGAAAAGTTCGGCAAAAGTTGCGCCGAATTTTTTATTCGGCAAAATTTCGGTGCATCACTTGTAAAACTATGCAACCCGGGGGGGGGGGGGGGAAGGGGGGGGGGGGGGGGGGAGGGAGGGAGGGTCTGGTTTGCCCCCCCACTCAAAAACAAGTTGGTACGCCACTGCACAAGATACATTCACAGCATTGGATTGGCTGGAATGACTCGAAGCATAGGCGGCGGTTCGTCATAAGGTGAAAGGGAGTATAGATTGTTTGATTAGCCAGCGAAGGCCACATATGGTAATACCACAGTGGCAGTCATACAGCGCTGCACGGGCCTACTTTTCGAGGTCCAGCCCGGCCCAGGCCCGCTGACTCTGTCTTACACGGCCCAAGCGTGGCCCAATGGGTTGCCTACCTGGCTGGGCCTGGGAGATGAAGCACGGTTTGTCCTGGCAAGAGGCAGAGGCGTGCTTTATCTCCTAAATCCAAAGCTGCCTTGGGAAAGTGTCACTGAACTTGATCGGCTCAGAAAACACTGCCGCTGCTTCGTCTATCTGCTTTTTTGTTTGCCTAACTTAAACCAAAGGTGAGTAAACGAGATTACCACTTTAGCTTGAGAAACATCTTGGAGAGCTGTATGTATACGCACATGTCTTTTGTTTCAGTCAGTTAGGAGTTGAATTAGACTATGTAGGCAAAAAATAAAGAAGAGGTAGTGCTACGCCATCATTGATGTAAGTGCATTCCATCTGTGCTTTCGGCCCGGAAACAGTGCATACTACCGGCACATGGACCTCGCTGGGCCTGGGTTTTCTGGTTGGCCTGGCTCTAGGCACTCAGGCGTCAGGTTATGGTGGGCAACTATTCTTAGTTTTTGCCTCGTGAGAAAAGCACTGTTATGATCCCAATAAAAAGTTTGCCACCACATTATAACAGCATGCTAGTTTTGTGACAGGTAGTACTATTACTGTATTTGCACAAATATAACGCGAGTTTTTTTTTCGAAATTACGTGCTCCAAAACGCACCTCGCGTTATATTCGGAATCGAGTTCAACCACGAGGCACGCGAGTCTGGAGAAAGCCAGAGGAGAAAGCTATCCCTTTGGCTCAATGCAAAAGACCCAGTGGGAAAAGAAGAAGGGGTGTGGAAAAAAATTTATCAGCTATTGGGCCACGTGAAGCCACGTGAAGGGGCGAATAGAAAACATAAAAAAGCGTTCTTATCGCATTTGTGTTTGTACAACGCACGCACCAACGAGCCTGAGTCTTAGCTTAGAGCGGTAAACCGGAACCCACTGCCCGCAGCGGACATGGCACCCCCCCCCGGTTGCCACCATCTTGCCTGTTTGCCACATTAGTGATCACGTGACGTTAAGATGGCTGCGCCCAAAGGTGGGCCAGATCACCGTTAGGCCAGATCAGATTGGCCAGATCGCGCTCAGCAGATGGCAGATGGGCACTCTGGGGCTGCGTTCGAATCTTACTCGAATGGCGCCGAGTTATTCCGGCGGATCATGTCACGTAACAAGACAGATGCAGCAACGCTGGACGCGGGTAGGTTTTCGAACGCAATGGGTACAAGAACTTCACCCAGGAGCGAGAAAGAAGCTGCGTTCGATTTACTTGCACCCCCTGCACCTGTGCAGAAAAGTGTGGGGCGGTGTACTTCCGGTCGTATCTCAATACATATACCGGAAGTAGACTGCCCTACACTTTTCTGCACCGGCGCAGGAGGTGCAAGTAAAATCGAGCGTAGCTTTTATCTCACTCCTGCCACTCCAGGGTGAACCTGTTGCGTTCGAAAACCTACCCGAGTCCAGCGTTGCTGCATCTTTCTTGTCACGCGACTTGATGCGCCGGAATAACTCGGCGCCATTCGAGTAAGATTCGAATGCAGCCCCAGAGTGCCCATCTGCTGACCGCGATCTGGCCAATCTGATCTGGCCCGCTCTCGGCACAACCATGCTAACGTCACGTGATCACTAATGTGGCAAACAGGCAAGATGACGGCAACCGGGGGGGTGCCATTTTTGACCGCTGGTTTACCGCTCTAAGTTTACTCAAGCTCATTGGCGCGCACGCCGCAGAAACTCAGCGCACGCCCGCCATGCGGGAATACGGGCACTGGCCAATTCGAGCCAAGCCAAGCCAAGTCAACACAAGCCAAGCCAAGACCACCGATTGCGTTCACGCAATCGTGGTGCAACACGAGTCATTTGTTTATGCAGAGGCCCCAGAACAAGAAGTGTGATGGTGTATCGGTTCAGCAGTCTTTTTTGTGCCTGCGCATTGTTTAGTTTCTGCTCCAGAGTGGTCTAGTGTTTGTGTGTTGGTGCTTCTGCTTCGTGCATTGTTTGGATTGTGGGCTGCCGAGGAGGCTCGCAGGGAAGAAAAAGGAACTACCAGACAAGCAGGTGCCGTGCTGCTGCTTATCTGCGTAGTCGCCAAGTGGATTGTAAACGGAAGGGCCTGAGCAGTGGGGATGAGTGCAGTCAAAACATAAACTGTTATTTCTTCTATTTCCATTGGCTTTTCACTTCTGCTATGCCCCGAGCGAGAAATTGACGCTGCCTCCGTTCGCGTTATAATAGTAATAATATTTTTTTTCTTTTTGGGGGCATCAAAACCTGTCCTCGCGTTATATTCGTGGTCGCGTTATATTCGTGCAAATACGGTACCATTTTTGGTAGCTACGTGAATACAGATTTCTGGCAAAGTGCAGATTTTGCTACTGATGATGTAGTCGTGCTTCGCTTGCCTAATGATAAGTAAACCAAGTTTTTGCTTAATTATGCAATTTCACAGGGTATTTGATAACCGATAATTCAGTCGAGCGGTATGTGCAGGGGACAAAATCGTTTTATATAGCCATCATGATGCAAAACAATTCACGTTACATTCACTGTCAATTATAAACTTTTACTATTTTATTACAATCGACTGAACATGTAATGAGGCTAGGAGTGAACTTACCAGGTTTTGATGAATCTGGAACATTCTCTACAGCATTCTTGCTATCCTCTGTCACCTCTTCCGTTTCCTTCAACCGCAAGTCGAGCTGCTGTTCTGGTTCTGCATGGATTTATTTTTTCTGGTTTCAGGCGTAAGGCAGTGATTATTTCAACGTCCAACGTCAGAATAGCTTCAAAATTATTTTGACGTCTCTGCTGTCACTTCCGTAAAATCGTGAAAATTGATTTTTAAAGTAACTGTACATTCCCCATCAAAATAACAATTTTGTCACAACGTCTTCCACCAAAAGAGTGGCTTTGTTATTTTGATGTCTCCCAACAATGTAGCTGTCACAGTGATAGCTGTTTTGTTCTATTTGGTTCTGGACGGTGTTGTCGGTGTTGTGTTGACAGAGTCTTGTGTCTCTGTGTCGCATGCCATTCAGCGAGTGTGTGTTTGTGTGCTCGACACTTGAATGGTTCCTTTCCAACATGACAGTGATATTGCCCAGCCAAGCCCTGTGGTGATGCTGTGCTCTCCCAATTCTCTTCAGCAATTTTTCACCCGCAACAAAAACGAGCTGTATTTCGCTTTATCTTTTGCCTGCATGTAACAAATGTTAAGTGCATACACTATGCACCCCTGAGAGTTTTGATTGATTTTTGTACTTCTATTAGTGATGGAAGCCTATAGAAAAATTCACTATCGACAGGGTTGAGCAGTATCACAATAGAAATGTATCGTGATAGTATTCTAGAAATATTTTAGTATTTATATTTCTGTATTGCATACGATTTTGAATTGGTATAATCTGTATTTCAGTATCGGAACACATTTTTGGTATATTCTTTGTATACCGATACAATCCCGGGCCAATGTATCTCGTGACAACGTTCAATAGATCAGTCACCCCCAGAGAGTGTTTCTTTCTTCTTTCGTTCTTCAGGGTGGTAGTAAGTAGAGTAAATGTAAATTAAGACTCTGTTGTCAAGCAGATCAAGGCATTTTTTTAACATTATGCCCCTAACATTGGCAACTTTCTCCCGTTTTTCAAAGATAACATTCCGATATGCTTCAGTTGGGTTTCTGTAGAATCAAAACGTTGAAGGGGCAGTGGGTACAAGCTTTACAACTATTCATTGCACTCCCAGCACCGTTCAGTAGAACGAGCGTCTCTTCTTCCAGATAATCAGATAAAAAAAAAACAATTTCATTCTAAGGCGACGTCTTCAAGTGACTACAGAAAAGGTACCGATATGGGACCCCCGTTCGCCTCTAAGCAGCCAGTGCCGTGGAAGCTACGCGCTCCTTGGACCAGTCATAGGTCTTTCTTTCTGCACGTGATCACGGTCCTGCCCATACCCACACGCAGAGAGCGGGGTCAGGTGATGAAAAGGGAGGCAGCCGATTGGTTTGGTGAGGGCGTAGCTCCAACAGCACTGTCAACTTAGAGGTGAACGGAGTATAGAAAAGGCTGATTTTTCGGGGATGTTTCGGTAGACGTAAAACGAATTTGAGGTTCATGTAATGTTGCTTCGAAGGCGTGCGATAACTCTAAAGGAAGACTGCACTACATCCTGAGTGGAAAGCACTTCCATCCTAGTGAAGACTTGCTTACCGTAAAATACCGGGGAAGCACCCACACCACTTTCAGTGAAAACTGGCTTAAGGACCGTTCACACAGTTGCGACTTCTTAGAACCGAGTGCGTTGAAACCTCTTACAATCTCTTACGACGAGAGGACACACTGGCACCACCTGTCAAGTAGCAGTGGAACACTGGGCAGTCACATATAGACCGACACGTTGTTTACAAACAAGCCCGCGTTTGCCCACACCAGGTGTGGGCACTGCGCGTGCGCACAAACCGAATTCGGGAGGAGTGAAGCGTCTGCGCACGCGCAGTGCCGTCGACAGCGCCACCGCAGCTGTGTGACGTCAGGGCCGCGTGTTGGTCTATAGTTTATATTTTTTCGCACGTCATTCTTTCTTTTTTTTTTTGGCTCTAAAATTTTTGTCAATGTTATAAACTAACATTTCTGATAAGTAGTATGTGCATCACCTCGCAAATACCGCCAAACCTTTGCTCTAGTGAAATGCAGTTCCAGAGTCGCTGCATACGTCGTAAGCGATTTTACAAAGTTTTAAGGTACTTGGTTCTAACGAGTCACAACTGTGTGAGCGGGCCTTTAATCTAGACACGAGCACTTGTCCGGTCAAATCAGGCGCTTAACGTATAATTTGCAGAATACTCAAGTTTGTGAAATGTTAATAGTGGGCGCTTAAAAAAAACTAGGCACTTCCGTGGTAGTTTATGGTACGGTAGTTCCCATAGCTTTATTTTAAAAGGAAAATGGCAATTCTCATGAAAATAATTTCGGGCTTGAGAATGTCCGAGTTCAGTTTTAAGTTTTAATATTTACCTCACGGTTAGTATGAGTTTTTGTTTTCACTAGAGGGCTCGTTTTTCCCTTTAGAATTACAAACCTTGGCAAAGTGGCCTACCTATTACCACCTCCAAGTGAGGTTTTCACATACATTGAAAACTGAAAAAATTATATATGCATGGTTTAGAACTTTTCCACTGTGAAAGCGGTCTTCGTTTGTTTTAAAGGGTAACTGCAAAGAAAAAAAGTTTTTTTTAAACAGCATAATTGGGACAAGCATGTCACAAAACAAATCTTCCGCGAAAAAACAATTTTGTTTTGTAATATTTACGCCACAGGACGTAATTTAGTCGGAGTCGCAACCTCTCCACATTTGAAACTCCTGCTCTTTCGACGAGCGCGGAGTGGCTGAAATACGTCACTCCGTGACGTATAGCAGCCACTCCGTGACGTATAACAACAACTTTGTGGCGCGCGATTTAAAACGGACAAAATGGCCCCAAACCAAAATCAGTCCCAGGCAATAAATATTGCTGTAAACAAATTTTGTTCTTGTTGGAAAAATTGTTTTGTGACATGCTTGTCCCAATTAAGCTGCTTAAAATACACATTTTTTTCTTTGCAGTTACCCTGTAATATGAACCAATGTTTTTTAACACTTGTGGAATGCTTCACTTCCTTCACTAACATGACTATTTTCCTAAATTGGCAGCGGCCGACCAACGAGCTATTTAAAAAGTTACTTCTCATCAAATGTAGACAAGTGTAGCAGCAAAGTTTACTTTTGTTTTGTATTGCGTCCATATGAAAAGATAGAATATGTAGCAAAAAGTTGTTTTCTTTTCCTTTTACAAATAGTAATTTCTTGCCAGTAATATTCTAGATGGAAAGTATCATACTAAAGAAAGGATGGAATGTACATCACAAAATTATTTCTTAAAAAAAAATTGTATGTATTACTGCCCCAGCAAAATGTATTCCTGTATTAGTATTTCCAAATAATTTTCTATTTTTCAAATGTATTTATAATAAATACGAAGAAACTTTTGTATGGATGTATTTCAGTATCAGTATTTTAGCTGTCTTCATCACGTATCCCAGTGTTGGTATATACAAATACAATTTAGAATATCTCTGCAGAACCCAGGATATCGTTAATTACTGACAGTACTAGATAGTACTATTGGCTGTACTAGGGATAGTTGACTAGTGATGATATCACTAACAGTACTATCGACAATTGATAGTACTATCGATAGTTGGCTCTCGGTTGACTAGCGATACTATCGAAAGTCAAGTTTCAGAAAACTATAGTGTCGTGAAAATAAAAGTATGACACCGAAAGGAAATGCTGATCTATGTCTATGGGCAGATAATGCGGTGGTGGTGAAAAGCTCTGGGAAAAACATCAAATAGAAAGGAAACTCAACATAAAGTTGCCTCAAGCAATGAGTTCAGAGATAAAACAAATGGCATTTTCCTACTTTTCCTGTGCACATATTTTGTATATCACTGGAGTTCACATACCAGGCTTTGCACTTTATGAGGGCGGTCCGATAAGTACTTAGCCTCACTGCCCGACGGTGCCACTATCGCAAGAGAAATTTACTATCGTGTAGTACATTCTCGTAGACGGCTACTATCGAAATTTCAACCGAATCGGACTGGTAGTTTTATTTTGACCACATGTGGAAGCGGGCGTGTCGGCGAATTTTAGAAAAATGGAAAAAGAGCAATATCGGTCGGTGATTCGATTCTTGTGTTTGGAAGGGAAATCGCGCAGTGAAATCAAAGAGCGCTTGGATGCTGTGTACGGTGACTCTTCTCCTTCGATGGCGACCGTCAAAAATTGGTTTAACAAGTTTCAAAGTGGTCGCACGTCGGTTTTTGATGTGTCACGCCCAGGTGCCCCGAAAACGGCTACCACGGAGGATAATGTGACAAAAATCCATAATCTCGTATTGGCAGACCGCCGATTGAAGGTGCGCGAGATAGCTGAGACAGTAGGCATCTCAAAAGACCGCGTGGGTCATATCCTGCATAAAATTTTGGGCATGTGAAAGCTGCCGGCGCGATGGGTGCAGCGTTTGCTCACTCCGGACAACAAGGGCAACCGTGAGACCACTTCAGAGCAGTGTTTGACGCTGTTGAAGCGCAATCCGAAGGAGTCTCGCGTCATTTCGTGACCGTCGACGAAACATGGATCCACTGGTACACACCAGAGACCAAGGAACAGTCGAAACAGTGGACTTAACCCAGCGAACGTGCTTTGAAGAAGGTGAAGACTGTCCTATCGACCGGAAAGGTGATGGCCACCGTTTTCTGAGATTCACAATTTGAGATCTACATCGACTACCTGGAGAAAGGCAAAACGATCACATGGCTGTACTATGCCGAATTATCAGGCTGATTCGACACCGAATTGAAAAAACCACGGCCCCATTTTGCGAAAAAAAAAGTGCTCTTCCACCATGAAAACGCACCGGCTCACACCTCCGCCCCTGCCACGACCGAATCGGTCGAATGGGGCTACGAACTGCTGCCCCATCCACCATATTCTCCAAATTTGGCCCCGTGCGACTTCTTTTTGTTTCCAAAATTAAAAAAGTCACTCGCCGGGTAGAAATTTGAGTCGAATGAGGAGGTCATCGCCATCACGGAAGCCGACTTGGCAAACCTTGAGAAAACATATTTTTCTGATGGGTTAAAGAAGTTGGAGCATCACTGGGTCAAGTGTATCGAACTAAAAGGAGACTATATTGAAAAATAAATCGCAACTTTTCCAAAATTTTTGTTTTTCTTTTTTAGGCTAAGTACTTATCGGACCACCCTCGTAGTATGCCTGCTTTTGTAAAAATAAAAAATACATTCGGTATATTTTTTTTTGGCTTGGAGCTCGGGAAAATACTTGCTGATGACGTTAAGCATCCTTCATTTTTACAAGTCTATTTGATGCTTGTGTTTCTTTTATTATTCAACTCTCACATGTTACCTTCCATAGTTTTGAGCACTGGCAGGTGAAAATCAATAGACTGCTAAGAATCATACTTTTTCTTTTTGTGACGATTATTTATAGTCAATTCTCGAAAATCGGGAATAGACCGAGTTCACTGGCGAGTTTTGCTATGCCACTGCTGCCGCAATGTATAGAGGAAACTTATAGTCTTTCTGCATGTGCGACAGCATCGCTGGAGCTCTGCGCATGCCAGACCACGAGATAAGTTATGGCGGCTTCACGCATGCACTGAACGCTTGGTGAGATCTGTCTATTAGCTGTTGACTAAAACAGGCACGTTTGCAGAGATATGGTGCCGTGCCACCCCCCCCCCCTCCCCCCCTCCCCCCTCCCCCTCCCTCCCTCCCCCCCCCCCCCCCCCCCCCCCCCCCCCGAAACAAAATCCTGGCTACATGCCTGTGACCAGTGCAGACAATCAAAGCTTCCGACACATTGAGCAAGGCTGCATCGCGATTCAATATGCATTTTCCAACACCAAATGTCATGCAATCGACGAAAACTTTTATGGCCCGATTTTTTAAGATATTCAGAACTCTTTTTGTTCATCTAAATAATGTAAATAAATCATGCATTCAGTGGCGTTTGGCACAGTACTACCCTTTAAAACTACCAAGCAAACGTTACGCTCGACCCGATTCCCGAGTTGAATCTAGAAGTTCTTCTAGATTTTCTATTGCTTTTAAAGATCTGGTTATAAAAACTGCAGTCGATTGCACAATACTTGTTGGAAAGATGTGCGACACCGACTGCAAGCAAGGTGACAATTTATTTCGACACTTTAGATCCCCTTGCAGTTTGATGCTCCCAAGTCCAAGGTTTGGTCAGTTGTTTGTGGTGGCTAAAGTGCTTGGATTCTGGGAAAGAAGTGCCAAGCTTCCCGTTTGGTCACCATTTTGGGCCATGAAATGAGCAGTTTCTCTCCGACTTCTTCATTCTTTTATTAAGCCGATCTAAATTCGCGGTGACGTGTTGGTTTATAAAAACATTTCTTGTATACTGAGATTTTGCAACCCCTAAAACCGGCGAAACAAATGCACACCTTGGGACTGCCACCACACGAGGCGTCGGTGCTCGGTGGCATTGAAAAATAATTTCTCTTTCTTGAAATATGCAAGGACAATATCACTGTAAGGGATCTGTGAAAATAAGCACGATGGATACATTACTTGCATACCGTGCCAAGGACGCCTATATTGGCAAGGGACGCGTTCAGTAAGACGGCGCTCCTTAACGATCTTGGCGCAGCTGGTTCAGGATAATCCTTCCAAAGATTTAAAAGGTCTGATATGGTGGTTGCCATAGCAGCAGAGACTGAACAACCAATTACCTCTTGAGATTTTGGTTACCTGTACGTTAGAATCTGTTTGTGTCCAGCTAGCAGGCAGAGAAGGCAATGGCACCACTTTCCCAGGATCCAGCGACTTTAGTGGTGGCAAGTGGCAAGTTAGATGGGAGACGTCAAAGTGGTGCAATGGGTATTTTGACGGGGGACTTTAAAATTATTTCTAAAATATTTTCACGTCTTTAGGAAGTGGCGTTGTGGACATAGAAAGAATAGGCAAATTATTTTTTGACAGTGAACGTTGAAATAGTCCCTGCTAAGCATAATACCCACACCTTGTGTGCTGCGGTCAAAACAAAATTACATTTGATGACAGTGGCGGACAAGAAGGTAAAAGCCACATTCCGTACCATTCTGAACGGGAGTTGTTTCCGTCTTGTCCGGATTGGAGAGGCTTTCAAGTGGCTGCTTTTTTGCAAAGGACTTAATGGCTTCAAGGTTCTTCTGTTGCTCAACAAGCCACTTCTTTCGCTTCTCCTCCTCCAGCTTCTTTTCATCTGAAGAAAGAAAATGAAACATGCACCTGTTTCCAACATATGTTTAGGTACACCCGCCGGCAATTTGAAGGTGAACACCTTACTTGGTTTCTTGCCAGTTTTACGGCTCCCTAAAGCTAAATTAACTCTCAACGTCTCAAATGGTACGTGGCTTGGGGTCTAAACTTTTCGTTCTAGCCCTCTTCTGGAACAGAGCTTGTTCCAAAGATTGCAGGAGCGTCAAAAACAAGAAAAGGGCTGTTCACCTACATATCGCTCACGGGTGTACTTCCCTATATACCTAAGCAGCAGTGATCATTCAAACATGCATTCAATTGTGCATTTAAATCTTCTACATGCAAGGGTGAATGTTCCCTATTACCGTAGAGACAATTGGCTTTCTTCTGCTCTTCTGCTGCTGCCTTTCCTACTAAGAGCATGGAACTACAGTGCTGGAATGCATCTCTAACTGGTGTGTTTACCCAAACATCCGACTCGGAGAACACCACAGCTCCTTGAAAGGGACTCCATACTCGCATTTAGCGATGCACTGTCGAGACTGTGGGTGCGAACTGCGGTTCTCTAACAACACCGTATTGTTCCAACACCAAGACCAGACGTGTAGAGAAATGCAGGAAACCTACCACATAAGAAAAACATACCCTCGTGCATCAGTCAACTTTCGCTACTCTAACGAACAATGAGATCCATTTTCGGGATCTTGGATGGCACGTGGAGCGGGAAACGAAGAAGAAAGAAGCGCAAAATATGCGGTCTGCCCTGTGCCTGCGCAAACACAGTGCCATCCACACATTCCAATAAAAAATTGGTTGTAGTCGGCACTTGTCCCGTGTAGTCCTTGCTTTTTGTCCTTGTCCATTTTACGTTGCTTTTCTTTGATGGCGCGTTTACCACATCCTAAAACATGGTCCCTCAATTTCCTCCCGATGACGTTACACAATGCGTCGTGCTGTCGCCCGCCACGACCCCGCCAGTGCCACGGCAGCGGGGATCGATCAGATGCCTATTCTGCTGCAGGTCGCTCTCCATTTTCAAAGTTCACAAAAGCTTCGACAGCCAGAAGTTGCGATGGCGCGACGATGGCAACGCTCGCATTCGCTCGTACTTGCTATTGGGGCATCTAGCACCAATCGCCAGGATCGCAATATTCGACCTGCGGCATCATTTGTTGCAATTTCTTAAAGGGCAACTCCGCTTCATTTTTGATATTCAGAAAACTATGTAGCCCTCTTCAGTATCATACAGGAAGACCCCATGTCAAATATTACGATCTAATTCCGTCTATATATTTAATAAACTGGCCAGCGAACCTTCAAGCGAGCCAAGTCGCCGAAATCTGCCAACTCTAGCGTGCGGCGCGAGGCGCAATCATCAGCGCAGTCAATGCCACGGAGTTGGAGCGGCCAACGTTGAACCACTACGTCAGAGGCATGCATACTTCATTCTCACGTTTTGCTTGTTTTTACTTTTCAGAGCGAAATTTAGCGATGACGTCATGAGTTTCTCCTCCCGGTGTTGGCTGACCGGGCGTTCACGCGATCACCGCTGCCCTGCGCGCTTATCAGTCTGTTTCTCCGCTCCCCTTCTCCTCTTTCGTCTTCTCCCCTTCCCCCTCTCCCCCGGGCCATCACCGTCCACGCAATGCGAAGCGACCTGCCCGCGTCCAAAAAAAAAAGGACCTGCCCGCGTCGCGTGTCCTGTTTCTCGCTCCCTCCCGAACGTCACAAGACCACGTGATTCGACGTGAGGTGCCCATGACTGTGACGACCCGAGACCAATGTTGCCTGACGCAACCGAAGTTTCGGTATCTGCTGATGTTTAAATTAGGATTACACAAATATTATTCCACATTTCGCGAATCCGAAGACGTAGAGTTGTTGAGTATTACTTTGTGAATGTGAATCACATGGAAGCCTAAATTTTTCGGAGTTGAGCGGAGTTGCCCTTTAACTGCTTTTGGTGAATGGGCAGAACAGGAGGCTATACACACCAGTCAAAGGTATGTTTCGGGCAACATATAGTTCTACGTTCTGTCTGTGATGAGTGAGTGGTAGCGCAGTGCGCTGCCGGCATTGTACTATTGAACAACCACGCGAATGCCAGAATATTTTCGGTCATTTCGTCTTTTAAATGTTTGTGAGCTGCAGGGGTCTCCCTAGGAATTGAAATAAGGGGGGGTGTCTAAATTTTTAGGGGGATAAGGGGTGAGGGGGGGCATTAAGAATAGAGTAGTCGTAGCAAACTAAGGGGGTGTCTTCAGAAAAACAAGGGGTGATATACACCCCCCCTGGCGGGAGTGTGGGGAAATCACGGGTGAAGTGCATATTGTCGTAAATTTCGTGGGACCTACATATCGGACCACGTAGTGCCCCATGCGAAGTAAGTAAAAAAAAAGGGCTGCGAGCCAATCACCAAGCAAAGGGCCGGGCCTACAAACCTCTGCCATTCCATTTTCATCTTCGTCGGTGACTGTAAATATATCTTAATCCTAGGAATAAAGTTGGAAGACACAAAGCGTACAGTGGAAGGGCCAGCACATTTTTGTCCTCATAATTCATTGTCTATTGTTACTAGTAATTATTGACAATTCCTTCATCAATTTGGCTAAATTTGGAAGGTGAAGTGTCAGCCAGCAGGTTTAAAGGGATGTAAGCTCAATAAATTTGGAGGCCATGCGACAGTTTCTTGCGACGCTTTTCAGCAATGTTCCACATCCGTAACTGCACTCCGTCAAACCGGAGTGGAACTCGAGGACTTACTTTCCCTGACTTCCAGGTACTTCTGGTACTGCTCCTCGGACAGCAGGGGGCTGCACGAGATGGTGTGGGGCCTCGACGTGGAGAGCCGCCTCAGCGGTGGGAACGAGCACACGCGAGACGTGTGCACGGTGAACACGTAGCTGCATGTCTCTGGCTCCTCCACACTGAAGATGTAGTCCGTGGAGTCCTCGTCGCAGTAGTACTGTGGGCAGGGATGGCATTCATTGTGAGGTGCAGTGTGCGAGGCCAAACTTAGGTAATCCCAACGACAGTCGGATCCTAGTTCACTCAGCCAGGTGAAAGCACAGCTGAAAGCTAGGAGCAACAAAAGCAAACGTAAATCAAGAAAGGGCAGCGACGCACGCTTAGGTGGACAGTGAATGCCAAGAGGTTGCACAGTTGGTACCACATTATTGGCTTTATCGGCTTAGTTTGTTGCTTGAATATAGAGCATGGTATGGGACCATCTTGGAAACCTCCATCTTTCCGTCAAAAATGTAAGGAAACATATTTTAGTCCGAATTATACATTTATCAAATCGCACCTAGTGGATGCTTCTGGAGCTTTGCTGGAATGCTCTTACATCACTGGTCTCTCATAGCTGCATTGTGCTGTGGAATATGATGTATTCGAGTGAGCGATTCAGTTATAAACCGGGATTAGCATGAATGTAAGCGCAGTTAGTCAACAAATCAGAAGAGATATTGGTGTGTTTCAAAAGATGCCACCGACATTAATCAGGCTTTGATGGGTACCTCATTCAAACTACGGTTTGCTTTCTTTGTGAAGCAGACTGTGTGGCAGACGATTACGGGAACGGCAGATCGTCCGTCACTTAGTCGATGGTAAAAGGTCGGTCTGCCAGCTTCCAAGCTTCAGAAACTATGAAAGGTGATTTTGCCTGGGCTATCTGTTGCTATCTGTTAGACACCCAAGGTTTTTTTGTTTTTTTTTACTTTCTAAATTATATTGGGTGTGGTTGTCAGCCAGTAGTGCACATTCTACACCAGAAACTGCAGTACCATGAGCTTTCATTATTTCATGTTCTTGAGATGTTGGGTCCTGTAGAAGAAGTAATATAAACAGCTTTCCCCACTGAATCCCCATCCCAGATGCAAAAAACAACTCACTCGAACTTCCACCTTGCGGGGTGCGCCAGTGATGTCACAGACTGTGCCTCGGGTGTATTTTTGGCTGTGGTACTTTTGCTGTCCCGTCTTGTTCAGCTGCTCCTGCGGCAAGTACCCACAACATGGAGGTAATGACCAATACCACTAACAATAAGAAAGCAGGTAACATATATGTAAACATGCACTTTGTACACTGCACGGCTCTGTTAGAAACACGTTTCCGCTTTCTCATATTTTACATGGAATCCAGGACACCAAGTTCTATCGTCAAAGTTGGTGATCAGGATGACCAAAGCTTTGATGATAGCATTATAGTTGCAAGAAAAAAATTAATATAAACCGGTGATCGTTTGTTCATACTAACTCTGTCGGGCTCTGTATACTGTGTGACCGTGTCCGCACAAGCTGGTGATCACCAGTTATTTGTGTTTTTCTCTGAGAATCGAAAGGCTGTCATCAAAACTACTAGTGTGGAGGAAAGTGCTTTTTTGGGACACTAACCTAAGCAGTAAAATTTGGTAATTACAGGAGTAGTTACTAGGCAGGCAAGCTGGTTGCTAATAGACATATTTAAACCCAAGACAGAGGCAAAAAAGAGTGACTACACAACAAAACAACCAGAGACATTCTGTTTGCTCCCCTTTTTGCCTCTGTCTTGGGTCGATTAAAATTTGGTGCCTGCCAATAACCTTTAGAATTAAAATATAAAAACAAAAATGCCAATCTGCTCACACTTACAGTTTCACGCAGAGAATGTAGGCATGATCATGAATACATTTAAATTAAGTATGCTCTGCATTTGCAAATCCTGTTAAGTACAACCAAATAGAAAGCCTAATCAAAGTTTTCTAGACCTGATTAGGTATGACAACATCCATAGGGCACTGTAGTAGGGGGAACTAGGCATAAATAAACCCCGAGATTGCATGAAGCAAAAACGACACACACACAAGGTCTCTTACACAGCTCTGGTAATCTCCACCAGTTCATTTGCAGCCCTACTTTCTGTTCGTTGTTAAGCTGGCATGTCATTTAACCAGACATGCGAGCTTAACAAATAGAAGAAAAAATGAAAGACTTTTACAACTCCCTGTAATGCCGAATTAGAGTGCAGCTCTTGAGGAGGAGGAGCAGAGGGTACAAAGAGGAAGGTATGCCCCTCCTCCTCTTCCTTCTCCATACCCTCCTTCTCCCCTCCTCCTCCTCCCTCCCCTCCATGGTTTTCCTCCTCTCATTCTCCTCCCCTCTCCTCGTCGCTTCCCTCCCTCCCTCCCTCGTGACGTCACTCGTGAAGGTTGTGACCTTCACGAGTGACCTTTGTAACGTTACTCGTGACACTAGTGACCCTTGTGATGTCATGCGTGACGCCATTATGGGAAACGTCCCATAAAGCAATGCGCGGTTATCAGTGACGTCATTATCGGAAACGCCCCCTAATGCAACGCGCGATTATGTTGACGGCGACGCCGCTCAAGCTGGAAACGGGTGCCTAAGAGCTGCGCTCTAGAACAAATGAAAGAAACCGAGCTAAATTAATGCTTACTGGCGATTAGATTTATAGAGCATATGTTGATAATGAAACAAACAGTAGCTGGCTCCCTTATTGTGGCCAACATTTCCATTTAGTTTTTGCAGGCATTGAAGAGAAATCTTTACTAAGATCTTTTTTTACTTTACGAAGAGAGCTGCCACTTTTTACCTTGAAATTGATTAACCAGGGCCTTCTCTTTTATGAGAGGAGACACTGGTCATGCTTCCTCTTAAGAGAGAGGAAATCGCACAAGCACAAGCAACTCGGGAAGTAAGACTGCCCCAATTACAGACAATGTGTCTGTGTTATGTCTTGATTTACCATTAAAGCAATGATTCTGCAGGGGCGGATGGTTTGACATATCCTGTATGGAACATGTTCTGCTAAGGGGTTTTGTGTTTCTTTCTTGCAGCCCCTTAGCTGTATGTTCTGTACAAGAAAACATTAAAGCCTTATTAACATTACTATGTTAAATTAGGCTTTTATTGACAACATCAAATCACAACTGTCAGTCATGGCCCATTAGGGTACAGCATCAGGCATGACAAACTGTTGCACTTGAATGGTCAGAGGTAAACTAGCATACTGACCAAATTTGTCTCATCATTCCAATCAAAATCAGACTCATAAAGACCCAGGTATATAACTGCATCGGGCACCCCATCTGAAACAGGCATTTTCTTGGTCAGCTTTCATTGGCAACTACAACACAAATTAATTTAGTAGCTCTTTCAAACATTTATATTAATCTGAAGATAGCAAAAAGTATATTTTTCAACCGTAAAGTTAAAGAAAATATCAAACAACTTCTTTTTTTGCTTTGGCTAATTAGCACTCACAATAAACCCAACAAAGCAGGTGTCACAAAACAAAAGCATTAATTAGGCTCACATTTGTCTTTACCCTCCACAACCTTTTTTTCTAAATGATTGGACAACCATGCACTTCACTGCAACAAACTAAAGGATTATCTTTTGACACTGAATAAACTGCATAATCCTGCTTGGAGAAGGTAGAACACAATCAGACAGCAAACCTCAGAAGTAGTAAAATAGGAAAAAGGAAACATCCTTATAGTCAATACACACTTTGTGATAGATCTGACGCAGGAAATGTATGATGATATACTAACGAGATAACTGTGTGAGGGGAAGGATTGAAAAATTCCCCTGCCAGCTCCTTCATGGTCCCTTAGCAGTAACTGCCCATTTAGGAATATACAGGGTGTCCCAGATAACTTGCACCAAACTTTACAAAAAAAACACGAAGCGCTCTGTAAAAGTGAAACCAACCGCACGTTGTTAGGAAGCGTTTTGGGAAGTGCACAATTGTTTTGGTGTGCCTAGTTAATTATTTATAATTAAAACTAATTAGCTAATTTTTTAATTATTCGTTTAAGAGCCAAGGTGTGAATTTGAAAATTGTAGAGCACATTGAGAAATGCCCAATTAAAGGACACATGCAAAGGAAAAAATTTTTTTTTTTAAACAGGCTAAACAGAGAAAGAATATTATAAAATGAATTTACAATGAAGAAAAAAAAAATTTAGAGCTATATTTATGGCACAAAACGAATTTGTAGTTGGCGCCCATGGGAGCCGCCGCTAGTCACGTGGTAGCCTTGGGCGCCGCCGTGCTGCGTCGCCGCAGCCACAAAGTCACGCCGCCGCCGCACGCCGAGCGTTGAGCGACGCCACTTCAACGCGTTTTTCCACGCCACCCCCGCAGCGCAAGTTTGTCTGCTTCGGGGCGCCGCCGCCATCATGTGACCGGATATCCAGTGCTTTACTGACCGGCGCACAGGTCTATCATGTCTGCTTGCGCCTTTTCAGGAGTTTCCTTTGGGCTCTAAAGGTTACTTATTAATCTTAGTTTTTTGTTATACTTCAAACAAAGATGAATAAGTTACTTTTAGAGGCCATAGGAAGCTTCCGAAGGAGCACAAGCACCACGTGAGCAATATGTACCAGTCACGTGACAAATAGAGATCACTTTTCCGCAGCGCACGTGGGCGCCAACTACAAATTTGTATCGCGCCGTAAATATAGCTCTAAAAGTTTTCTTTTTCGTTGTAAATTCGTTTTATGACTTCCCTCTCCCAACCAGGATGTTAGAAAAATGTTTTTTTCCTTTGCATGTGTCCTTTAAGGTGTTTCATACATGATACATTTTGCGTGCTTCCTTTTATTAGCCTAAAAACAAAGCCTGCAAAATACGACAAAAGACAGACGTGACAAAGCTCCCGAGCGTCGCACTTGCAGCGCTCTTAGACATGCTCCGAGTGACTGAAGTCCACCTTATCACTGGTGCGCTGTCTGAGACAGCGTTTTGCGGAAACAGGTGCTCGCGTTTATCTTCGGGGACCACCCCAACGCGAAGCCCTGCCTCGGACAGTGCGCCAGTGATAAGAAGGACCTTGTTCTTTCGGAGCATGTCTGAGAGCGCTGCAAGCATGACGCACAGGCAGAGCCGTATTACAGAGTTTGGCCATTCATTGGGAAGTATAGGAGGCAAATGAGGAGATGCCATTGGCCAAAAGCATGCTGGGCATGTTCCAGGGTATCTTTCCGAATTCGAATGTGGCCAACAAGGAGCCGGAAATAATACCCTGGCGGTGGTCGCAAGAAAAGAAAATATTAAGTGCGTCGGAGTAGCTCTCGGTGACTGAAAATATGGTGCACATGACGTTTCAATCAAGGTCACCCAAAATCATGGTGGAAGGGCGCGACTAGTAACGATTGACATAATCCGTACGCCAGGCGCCGAGGGCCGGGAATCTGCCATTCGAGCGGTCACATTCTGTCCGCGCAAAACAGAGTTCGAGCGGCACATTCATTTCTTACATCTTTCTGCACGATCATAATCGAAACAACACGTGCACCCATTTTCAATCATGAAGAGTTTCTACACTTAACCCTTATGCTCTTATTAAAACTGTTTCTTACTACCACCGCCAGGTGATTCTTTTCGGCCTCTGGTTGGCCAAGAGCGCTTGCCAAGCCCTCTATCTGCGTCTGGTGCACGCCCTGGTTCTGCAAGCTCCCCCAATGACCAAACCCTCTTTATCCACAGCTCTGCGCACAGGCGCGTCGTCACGTAATCTTTTTATATATTTTGCGGGCTTTTTATTAAGCTAATAAAAAAAGAAGCATGCAGAGTGTATGATGTAGGAAACACCGTAATTGGGTATTTCTCAATGAGCCCTACAACCTTCCAATTCACACCTCTGCTCTCAAAAGGGCCCTGCAATCACATTTAAGCGTCTACCTTCATTTTGCGGTTTCCCCATCTCTTGGGGTTCAGGCAAGCCAGCAGGCACGGAGAGAGTAACTAAATATCAGTGCATCATATTTTAACTGTACGCCGCAGAAACCTCCTCCACCTACAGGGGCACCCCGTGGTGCCGAAAGCGCACGATATGTGTCATGTGACGACATCGTCACGTTTTTGGTCCTGGCCTTACTACTGGTCACAGCCGCTAAAAGCTTTTTTTTTAGTCAAAATACAAAATATAAGTGGTGCAAACCGTTCCAATCATTTATGAAAGCAGTTCTTCTTCAGTAAGACGTCGTCGTGTTTCTTCTACCCAGTCTCAGGTGGTCTAAAAAATGGTAAACAAATGCAGTTTATAAAATATGAAAACAAGAAATGACCCGTCGACACACCCACCACCAAGCAGTGGAGAAAGCAGCGCATACTAGAAAGGGGTAGTGGGATCAGGTACCGACGAGCGGTGAGCATAGAAAGGTCCCAGATGTATGCGGCGGCGCTGCGGTTGTATGGGCTCGAGGATCCGACCGGTTCCGAGCGTTCAGAAGACCTTCAATGAGCAGGTTTGGCTTGCGGTTTGGCCATCTGGCGGTATGGCAGCGCGAAGTGGCTCCTGTTCTGAACTAATCTTTACCCCGTGTTTGCTGTCATTTGAGGCCAATAAAGTGTCATGCCGAATTAGTGTTTAGTCGCGCAGCAAATGCGATGAGAGCCGCCCTGGCCGCCCGCTTCATCCAGCCTATCCAGCCCATTCTTTAGCGGCGCCTTCTCGAGCCGTCAACAGGAGATGCGGCAGCCGCGAGCACTCGCTGAGCTCAATACCCTTCCTCTTGTTCACGGCCACTCAAGCCTGGACCAAGGACATCATGAAGGAGGTTATTTCTTGCTCGTTTTTTGTAATTTTAATTTGCCTATAGCTTTTAAAATAAAGCGAAATTTGAGGAAAGAAACGTTTCACTAAGTTACTACGTTCAGTGCACTCAGGTTCGGTGCAAATTAAAAACCAGCCAAAAAGCCCTTGCAGAGCCCTTTTATACGAAATGTTAAAAAATTAGCTAATTAGTCTAAAGTAACTAAATAACTAGGTCAACTAAATAAAATTTTGCACTTTCCCACAACGCTTCTTCAAAACATACAGTTAATTTCTTTCACTCTCGCAGAGCGCTCCATATTTTTGCAAAGTTTGGTGCAACTTATCTGAGACACCCTGTATATGCACTAAATTGGAGAAGGCAGAACTTCTTAAGGGCAACTTTCGTCGAAAGCTAAACCAAAATAAAAAACTGCTATCGCTTTAGTGGCACGAATTATGATCACAGCCGAAATATTACATCAAGGTGAAGCTGCATACTCCACTAAAACCGATTTTAAAGACGCGACCAGCTGCCCTTTAGTGGGCAGCAAGTGGGTTAGCTTTCAGTCAAGGAACACTGGTGCAACACCCTTGTGATGTCCTTTTAGTCAAGGAAAGCTGGTGCAGCACCCTTGTGATGTCATGTTGTGGTGAAGCTGCGGTTGATTGGTTGTATTGCATACTGCAGCACCCTTGTGACGTCACGTAGTGGCCGTACGGCTGATGACCAGTGTTGCCATCCCTCTAGCAGATAGTTTCGGTTTTGCCGAAGACACCCGAAACCAAACATTGAGCCGTGATATTTCTAAAACTACACACAATATAAAAAAAATACAGCTTGTTATCTAGGGACACTGCTTTAGCTGAAAACAGTCGTAGTCCCAAATTGAAAAATTTTGACCGGAATAATAGTTTTAATATTTCACGGACTTGGACCGTGAATATTTAAATAAAGAGCTATAAATTTGCAGGTATTATGCGCGCTATAAACAAAACTAAACATTGTTTTTAATAATTTGTGAATGAATATGAAGCTTTCAAGAAACAAGTAGGGAGAGAGGCTATTGAAGCAAGGTTCCTATGCATTAATACAATCGCAACAATAAACCTTTACACGGGGTGATTTTTTTTTTATGTAAACAGATTTTTTTAAAACAGAAGTGAGAGTTATGTGAATGGCATCTTCACTGTGTGTTTTTAGGGATTGGCAGACATTAGATGGGTGAATAACCATCACATTCAGTAGGCAAACAAGCCAAAACTCGATAATTAGCTTATTCATTAATGATTTCACAGGTCTTGTTATAATTGCAGAATTTAGAGCAGTTACTAATAGAGGCCAGGACAATTTAAAGACTGAGAAAAGGCAATAAGCTTTCAAATATTTAATGATAATTTTTTGCGTTTTTGTCGACCAATTATGAAACTCTATGCAGAAAAAAAAGTTCCACAAGCCGTTCCCGCAATCATGTGTGGAAGAGTTACATGCTCGTCTTGTCACGTCATCACTATTTTGGTAGCACACGTTAGGCACCTCTACCAAGGATGACCTGCTGACATAGCGATGACATGACTGAAACAACTATTGTAAAATACCGGGAGAGCACCCAGCCCACTTTCACTGAAAGCAGGGTTGATCTAGACATGGGCACTCGTCCGGTCAAATCGGATTGTTAACACATAATTTGCAGAATTCCCAAGTTTGAGAAATGTTAATAGTGGACGCTTGAACGAAGTGGGTGCTTCTGCTGTATTTTACGGTATGTCCCTCTTCTAAGCACCACCGTGTAGTCTCAAAATTGGGAGACAAAAACACGAAAACTGATCAATAAGTATCTTCCGCAGCCTTTTTGAAAATTTGTTAAAATGGGCTAGCTTATAAAGGGCTGTCTAAACAGGAGACTTCAAAAAACGTGAAGCGGCACAACTCCGCCATTTGGCATGTGCCGGTCCACTTTCGTCCGTTTTTTTTGCTGGGGGGGGGGGGGGAAGCGTCCCTCCACTTCTGTCCTTGACGGAGACCTGGAGCATGCTCATCACTTCATCACTTGGGTCCTGACAGGCACTCACACGCTCTGTTGGCAATTGGTCAAGGCTTCCACTGTTGTTTAAGACTCATCCTCCCAAAACGGGAAAGAGAAAAAGCTCGAGGTATACCTACCGTAAGCATTTCTTATGAGTTGTGAATGCGAAAGCATGCAAGCCGCTCGTCCGCTCCCTTTGCCGTCTGCTGCGTACTAGCGCAAGCGCGCTTCAAGATCTCGGAGGTCATGTGTGATGGTAAGAAGTATCGACTCGGGATTCCGACACGGTGGATGTGAAGAAAAAATATATTGTTTGAAAAGAATAGGAATAATAATGTTATTGTAACCACAAAAAATATATATACAAAGTCAAGTCTGGGGTGTTCTGCCCACTTCACGCTGCACTTGCCGGGGAACCACCGCGCTTGCCGCGGTGGTTCCCCGGCAAGCCTGGCTGGTGCCCCCACGGGCCTCAGACGTCCGTCCGGGACATTACTTGGCTGCCAGGGCCCACGGTGTTGAGCTGCGTTCGCTCCTTCTGTGTCCAACCCCAAAACCTCACTGCACAAGCTTGCCTGAGCCGTCACATCTGCGATGTTGTCTTCCTTTTCTTTTATGTCCCGTTCACATCAACACACCATGGTGAAGCGGCCAATGGGAGCCCCACCAACGGATGCCAGCCAATGGAACCGAAGGCGAATCGCTCCTATTGGGATCGCGGCAAAAACCAGGAGCCGTTTTCGCGCTTCAAACTGATGACACCAGATCGCTCCATGAGACAGTTAATGCTATCGCATGAAAATACAAGGATGAGGAGGCAAAGCCTCTTCATATGATCTGAGCTTGACCGGTCGGACTTCTTCGGCCTTTCTTATGTGGCGACGGCGGCCGTGGGCCGCGGCAGAACAGATGAACAGGCATTTGCAGGTCGCATGTGACATCAAGTCTGACGAGCACCAACGTCACAGAAAAGCGCAGGAGGCAAGAAGGAAAGCCGTGATGTTTGCATGGTTCACGTCCACACAGAAGATGGGCAGGCGGACAGCAACTTGCACTTTATATGGCGGGGTTGTGTTGCTTCACGCGCTTTAAAGTGTCCTGTTTGGATAGGCCTTAATAGTAATTGCCATCTATGCTGAAATTTCAACATGGCCCATGAAACCATCAATGAAAAAGTCAACTAACAGATCTTAAATATTAAAGTAATGAATAGTGAAGATGACAGCCACATAGCAGTATGCTCGTGAGTTGAATCGATTGTTAAATAGTTTTGGGCAGTTGTTTCGAATCTACACTTTGTTCCCATTGCCCATGAACACATCAGCAGTCCCGGAGGATAAAAAGAACTGCTAAACAATTTTCAAGATTTCCTTATGTACAGCGATTCCTTCAACTCGAAAAGAAATATATCAAGATATTTTGCACATCACAATATGGGTGATGACATGTACTTCAATCCTTATTTATGAGGGCTCACATTAAAAACAAATTACACTAGAAATTTAAAAAAATTTAATTTCCGTTTTTGCTTGTAAGAAGATATCACGCAAAAATCCCAGCTTTGCCACCGAGCATCGATGTCACTGAAGAGGCGTGACAGCAATACAGCACAGTGGTACAGGTCTTTTCTAATGATTTGCTGCGTCACTGAAGCAGCCAGAACTTGAATATAAAACAACTTGGACTTCCATGTTCAAAGCAGCAACTTACTCTCTAGATGGAACTGCTTGATTGACTTCCCATAGCACAGTTCATATGTCCACCAGTTTTTTGTCTGTGAGAACAAAAACCAGAAAAAAAGATTTCGATAAAGTAATGTGTAAAGAAAGTCCTAAATATGTCTGTTGCAGCCTCTGCCCATGCCCATCTCAATCTGGATGAGCATCAGTATGCATTTGTGACACAAATACTGCGCAATGCATGTTAACTCTTTCCCGATCGCACCCATCACCTGTGATAGATGGAAATAGAGGCCCATTTCAAATCTCCCGCAGAGCTCTCATGCTCACTGAACCATCTCGTAGGTAGTGTGAAGACCACAGATTTGGTCTCTTCATCTTTCCACGTGCCAGCAATTTTTAAGTTAAGCGTGAAGCCAATGGCATGTAGTCATTTGTGACAACCATGGCCGCCTCCACGTGTCCAGCACGCACTCACAAGCATGGCAATATACGGGAATCCCTCGTCCATTTCTTAGACTCGTTGAGCTGCAGTGGGTCTGATGATGAAGCCAGCTTATCATATTTCAGTTCTGATGACCTGTGCTTCACCACATTCAGAACCCCCCAACCCAATGGCAAGTCAATCATGAGAGTCGACTTGATTTTTCGTACATGAAAATCTTTTCGAGGCAGAACTCTAGTTTTTGCATAGTTTCTTGTAAAAATGAAAAACATTTTGTATCTCTCTTTTTCTTTTTTTTCTTTCTTTTTCTTTGGGGAGGAGGAGATTTTTTTTATTTAAGATATAGCCATATCTTTACCCAGTTTGGAACAATCTCTGAAAAACAACTGTGTTGATAAATTAATTATAGCATTAAAATTTAAGTCTCTGGTTTTATGTTTACATCATTCAAAAGCCCGTTTATTTAGCTGAACGTCACATTAACAGAATCATTGCAGACAGCATCGCTGAACGGAATCACATTAAAAACTTTTAAAAACTTAACAGTTTCTTCACGAAAAAAGTTTATAAAAAGTCACACAGAACAGGCATTTCCCCCCAGTCAGGAAAGAGACAAGAGAAGCAGTCATACTGCAACAGCTAAATTTCGCATCTACAGAGGGAAATCAGATGCCGCTTCAGGCAGACTATCTTCCAGGTTTCCAAACATCCACACAATGAATGTGACTTTTGACTGCTGCAGTAGAAGAAAGCTGCTTGTGCGTCTTGACAAAAAAACTACTATATGAAGGACACCGACACAAACACTGCACTTTTTATGCGAAAACTGACAGTCAGTTTTAAGGGCCTACAGGAGGACATATATAATGTGAAGCTTGTTGCAGATAATATAATAACTGCAAAGTCCTTGTATATATTTATTTGAAGAATACTGCCCACCAACTTTTTGGGCCAAAGTAGGGTGAAGATCTAACAGTAAAGCAAAAATAAAATGTGCACATTCCACTTAAGGAAAATTAAGAGTAATCAACATGGTTAATTACATGTAATAAAGAAAATGTCACCTAATGCGGGAGCAAAGGAGCCATACGTAGCAGGTAGCGTAGCAAAATTCTTGAAGCAATTTCCCATTCTTTTTAAATGTAATGGCTCCAAGAATTTAGATAATCGTCAACCTTTCAACCAGCATTATGACGTACTAAATTGTGAAAAATATGAAGCGCTTTACTTTTCTTCGTTACAACTCGGGCAATCCAGGTTTGGCATACGTACAAGGTTGATACAGGTGATTCTTTGCCAAAGGAATTATAAATAAATCGAAAGACTCTGTTTTCAATGCCTTCCAGTAGGTCAATAAATGATTACTAATTTCGGTACCATAAGATGCCAGTATCCATGAGCTTCATTATAGTAATGCATGATTATTCATAAAGACCGCAGTGTTTGAAAGAAAATCACATCATGTGATAAATTACCCGACTCCAAGACAACTTTTCTTTTGAAAGTTGGAGCTCAACATATGCAGCCTTTTCACCTCAAATTAGGGTGCAACGTAAAAACTGTCCAACAAACAACGAGGCAGATGAACCACATTCATGAAAATATTTTGTGAATAGTGAGGAAGGATAAGTAATTGACCCTAAACCTGGTCTGGGAAAAAAAAATTTAAGTCACCAATACAGCTTAGTAGACATAGATGTACAAACCTCCAAAGGCAGCGATTAAGGTACATAATAAGTTAGAGGGTGGCAAACAACAACGAAAAAAGACAATGCCACCAGTGACTGAAATAGAAGCAAACATGGGTAGATATTTACACTCAAAGGGTGATAATGTTAATGCCAAACAAAAAAATGAAAGCCGTTGACAACACCCTGTAACGCCGGATTAGAGCGCAGCTCTTGAGGAGGAGGAGGGGAACGGTACTGAGGGGAAGGTATATCCTTCCTCCCTCCTCCTCACCGCCTCATCCTGCCTGCTACTCCTCCCTCCGAGCGGCGTCGCCGTCGCCTCACGAGGGTCACTAGGGTCACGTAACCTCACGGGGGTCACGTGACCCCTATGAGGTCACGTGACGATGACGATGCGGATGCCGTGCGATGACGTCACTGATGACATCATCAGGGACAATGACGATCCGGATGACGTCATCAGTGACGTCACTAAGGACGTCATCAGCATTGTTACTGATGACGTCATCAGTGACGTCATGCGTCCCATAATGCACCGCACGGTTACGCCGACAGCGACGGCGACCCCACTTAAAGGGGTACTCCACCGATTTTTCGAGCTACCTCAACTAACTATATTTTCTGACTCCCCGGCCTTTAGCCTTTCCGGTATGCTATTTAGCATCGCGAAATTCATAATAGGTATTGTGAAATCGGCAAATGAAAATGGTGCAAAAACCGATATTCAAATATTCGCGCACTTTTCAGTGCCGTGACGTCAGTGGCAGGCAGGCTTGCCAGTCGAGCAACTAGTCTAAAAATAGAATATGCCAATCATTTGTTCCGTGCTGGAGCGCGGATACGGGAGTGAGCTTCCAAAGCACTCATTTGACACCAAGAAACTGCTTCAAATCCGTTGAGAACAACTTCTGTAGTCCAAAAAGTTAACCCCTGCCTTCCACTGACGTCACTTTGTTGTTGTTGCCAGTAGAGACTTTCAGTTTGAAAAACTGAAAGTGGTGAAGACCAAAACTGTAAATTCAATAACTTCGCGAAAAAACAATATTTTGACCTAATATTTGGGATACTATTTTAGCAATGTTTGTTGGTTAGTTTAGCAAAATTTCAAGCAAATCGGAGATAATGAAAAAAAACGGTGGAGTACCCCTTTAAGCCAGAAACGGGCACCTAAGAGCCTGCACTCTAAAAATAAATGTCAACACGCATCATGTTGAAATGGACGTCAGAGTACCACATACCTTGGTGAGGCAAGGTAAACTTCGCAAGGGCTCCAGTAACTTTATAACATTTGACGCTTCTTCCTCACCATCAGAAGATTCGGCACTCTCGGAACCGACAGGTTTCTCCGGTAAGGAACACTGATATTCCTGGCCAAACTTTGTTGTCATCAGCATTACAGATTGTCCCATATCCTGCGAGAAATCATTCCAGTAAGCAGGGTGTCGAACCGAACCCAAATCAAAAACCAGAGTGAAACCGTTATTTTTTAGGGAACCGGAACAAATCTGTAACCAAAATCAACCACTCAATATTGAACCCAAACCGGAACAGAACCACAATCTCATATGGCGTTCACATGTCTCGTGTGAATGCCGAACTGGTTCATGAGAAAACGGTTTAGAGTAACAAAATTGTTTTATGGGTGGCGACACAAAGTAATATACATATTCGTGACAATGGCAACAGCGGTGCAGTTGACTTCACAAATGACAGCTACTGGGAGACAGCTGAATAATAATGAAACAAACAAAAACCTCCTGGGTTCGATCCACAGCGTCCCCGCCCGTTTCGGTCTGGATGAGTTTCGTACTGGCACGCATTCGTGTAATCACTACTGCATGATGCACAAATAAAAACCCCAGGTCAGCAGTTGTACTGCACTGGCAAAATTTCTCATCTACAGCTGGGAGACTCGTCACCCGTTGAGGCGTACCAACATCAAGGCTGTATAAACATACAAAAACAAGACTTTTTTTTTTTCTTAGATAATTATGTTTTTGTGCAGCAAGACTTGGTGATGGCGAGTCGGCGTACACCTCATTACTTTGTTTTACCTTGCGACGAACCACAAAGGACGCCACGAACCACTGAAGCCAACCCTTAGCAACCCAACCCATGCGACGCGGGGAGCGCAAAGTTACATGGCAAGCTACGAGCTAGGAATTCCCACAGGTAGCTTTAGCATCCATCGTGGAAAATTGTAAAGTGAAACGGAGTTTGTCTGACTATGCCAAGAGGCTAAAGAGATATTACTTGTGCCTGTGTGCATGTCACATGTGTGTCGTGTGCTAAACAGCTTCGCTGGTCATCCACCTTTACAGAGTGGAATAGCTCATAACTTTTCTTTCGAAATCGCGTATAATTTTTGAATTAGATAACTGCAACCTCTGACACTTTGGCAGCTGATCCGAACCGCCAGGGCTACATATGGGCGGAGGCCAAGTGTTCTCTGTTCGGCAGTATAGTTAATTTGTGCGGTCAAAAGAAACCGCTGTAAATCGAAACTGAAACTACAGCTACGGACAGAAAGGACTGAAGATCCTAGGTGATGTATTCCAACAATATCTGAAAGCAAATGATAGTTTCCAAATTAATCAATTGTTGTGAATTAAAAAGAAGTAAGAATGTTACATGTTATTTTTCTCAAGGAGAGGAAAGCAAAAGCAAATGTAAATCATCAAAATGAAAACAAGCTGTTTGCATGTTTGTTCCTTGGTGGGAAAATCTGGAAGCACCAAGAGGCAGAGCTGCAATGAGCACGACCGACACAGTGGCACCAGTCCACCAGTCGTGGGGATGCCAACTCGCCCAGAGCAGCCCAGAACCCTAAATGCTGCTTGATTAATCTTTTTTTTTTTTTTTTGTATGCGTGCGTTTTTTAAAATATGTCGCCCTCGTTATTCTTTTTTAAAAGTTATTTTTAGACTGTTTTTCGTTTTTTTCTAGTCCTTCGAAAAAGGCGTTCGGTCGTGCGGGGTGGATAGTTTATGAGTATGGTACGCCGTACTATCATGGTGTTCTTTGCTTGCTGGCTGACTGACTTTATATGTGAGTATTGTACTTTGCTGCTGTTCCTGATCACCTGTATAACCACATAATTTGTGTAGAACGTATTTTGAAATAAAAAGTCCAGATCGCAGAACGAAATTAAGCATATATCTGTTTTGCTGTCGTTTCCGTAACACCGCTTCTGATGACCTTTTCTTTTTTTAGTACAATTGATGTCTCTTTGAATACACATTCTTAACGACTGGAAGCTGTGGACTTTTCTTTTTAAGAACAGATTTGAATTGGTATATGTTTGGCAGAACCGGTAACCGAACCAGTACTCTATTCGAAATTCATCACTGAACTGGAATCGACCGGTAACAAAATGCAAAGCTAGTGAACTGGAACCCAACCGGAATAATGACCGGGTCGACTTCCGGCGCCAGCAAGTGTGAATAATGAATATAAATCATCGGACCAAGTATACACCAACTCATGTTTACAAACAAACCGGAGCGCCCGGAGCGCCCCTAGCGGACGCCACCGGCGCCGCGCAAGCGCGATGGGGGTGTGGGCAAAAAACTCGCCGTTGCCCATAAACAAACCATTGAAACGCGATGTTGTCAACGTCGATGTGAGTCCCCGCGCTCTTTTTGGCGTTGGAATTGTTGATTCCACGTCCTCCTAACGATGTCTGACTACTTGAGCGGCGTCAGCGAAATTACCGAGCTCGTTACACCGCAAAACTTCGCGTGAATCATCTGACATGCGGCGATTCATTCCGTGTGGACGCCGCAGAATGTACGCCAAAGCCTGATTCACGTGATGCGATTTCGCTCGCAATTTTCAGTAGCGACGTCGCTCGGACTGCAAAAGCGTGAACCGTAGCTGAGATGTCGACATCGATACTGAAAATCGCAAGCAGAATCAAACCGAGTGAATCAGGCATAACAAGTCGCTGATGGCCACTGGTAACAATGATCAACATCTCCTTGTATCTACTGTTTACGTCCAGCCTGCTTACACACCTTCAAACTGAAGTCTTTTGAGGCCTGCACTTACTTCTTATCGCAAGTGCCGGGCCCACGTTTGGTCTACGGGCCGGTGTCCTCTAAAAGAGCAGACGACAAGCAGAAACGTTTGAAAGAGCAGACGACAGTTCAAACGATCAGGCGGCCGTTTGAACTTGAAGACGCACTGAACGTAGTCCGCAGGTGGTCCGTACAATTTGAAGGTTTTCGGGCGTTCATTTTGGAACAAAACAAATAAATTTGATGACCAGAAGTATCCGTGAATTCAACCCAAAATGCTTCCCGCCTAAGCAATTGTGGTCCGACGGCGTCTGGTTTTCCCTTTTCACTGCATCCAAGTTCTTGGACGAACCGAGCGCATTAAAACTGACCTTCAAATCTTTCTCTACAATTCTGGTACAGCCCCAGTCGCAGCATTTTGACAAGAAGGCAGGTTTTTGTATGGTTCCTTTCAAAACAACGCAGGATTACACGTCTCACATGGGCACTTCCGCCCACAGCCCCGGACCGGAAGTGCGTCCGACGCGCCACCACCGCGGCGTGACGTAACAGAGATGAGTTCGTGTATAAGAGACCTAGTATAAGAGTATTGAACCCGGCACCTCTCGATTTACAGTGGAGCGCTCTACCAACTGAATCTAAAAACGTGGTAGAGCGCTCCACTGGATACTGTCGTTTAACCACGGGTTAGACGTCAGTAGAACAAACAGGTTTTATCAGCTGCCATCAATCTAACACCAACAACGGTGAAAGGCTTGCATTTTAAGGTTATGATTATAATGCAATTAAATGCAAAGGTGCAAGCGAGCTGGACAAGAATGTCGAAAATAATCCCCGGAGAAGGGGAAAAAGAGGGACAAAGGACAAACACAAATCTCCAAACACAGCTAGGCGACTGGTGCGCGACCGAAAAAATCAGCCAAGTCCGGCTATCGAACCCGGGACCTTTCCATTTCCAGTGGGGCTACCAAATGAGCTAACACCAGACGTCAGTAGAGCAAAGAGGTTCTATCAGCTGCCACCAGTCTAACACCAACAAGGGTGAAAGGCTCGCATTTTAAGGTTATGATTATAATGCAATTAAATGCAAAAGTGCAAGCGAGCTGGACAAGAATTTCGTGGAACTTCCATTTAAGCTGTCGACACGATTTCTAGTCGGCGATGGAATACCAGCGGATCGTAGTTGGCAGCATAAAAGGACGTGCGACGATGGTGTGTACACAACTGGCAGGTCAAACAAAAACATCAATCAGTTGATTAGAAGAAAGCTAAGCAAAGTCATGTTTGATCCATGAATGCCTGCTAAAAATCAAAACTGACGCCAATACCTCGAAGCACTTACATGGCCGATCTTTACAGGTGTGCTCACGATATCAACTTCATAATTGAAGCTCCTCAATTCTTCCAGGTTTAAAAGTCCAACCGCTAAGTGGCTTGATATGACCAGAAATGTCGCCGTAAAAATCATGGCATCAGCCCCGACGGAATGATGGGTGGCACACACGAGCACAAACTCAGGAATCACACGTAATCCTAGCAAATCCGGCAGAAGTGAAGACAGAAACGAAAGCAAACGTAAAAGTTGAAAAGGTTAAAAAAAAAAAAAAAAAAAAAAATGTCTGTGTTTCAATGTTGCCCGGGGAAGAGTGCGGTTCTCACCATAATCTCGAAACTTCGCAGATGCAGGCCGTGCGAGAAAAAACATTATGTGGCATTCTTACTTCTTTTGATTCAAAGCAATTGATTAATTCGGAAACTATCACTTGCTCTCAGATATTGTTGGAATACATCACCTAGCATATTCAGTCCTTCCTGTCCGTAGCTGTAGTTTCAGTTTCGATTTACAGAGTTTTTTATTGACCGCACAAATGAACTGTACTGCAGAACAGAGAACACTCGGCCTCCGCCCACATGTAGCCCTAGCGGTTCGGATCGGCTGCCAAAATGTCTAGAGCTTGCGGTTATCTAATTCAGAAATTATACGCGATTTCGAAAGAAAAATGATGAGCCATTCCACTCTGCAAAAGTGGATGACCATCGAAGCTGTTTAGCACACGACACAAACCCGCCCCGATGAGCCGGAGGAAACCAGACACGCGCGACGGGACCGACACCACGGGAGAGCGGAAGGAAACGAAACTAGGCACGCAAACGGGGCTTGGAACGACGACAAAGAGAGAGCGAATGGCCGACGCGGGTCGCACAGCGACAAATTTTTGAGAAACCTTTATTATCTATTTGAAATTCTACTGATCTTGAAAATGGTTTCTATTGATAACTAATCTACTGAATATACTTTAAAGGAATTTTTCGGTAAAATTTTTTATTCGAGAAAACAATTGAATATCATTGTTATTGCCTCGAGACGCATCGTACGTGCAATATCTGAATTTTATATGCCCCTTTGCGTGAGTAATTGAATTTATACTGCTCCAATCGCATTCTAGCGCAAACGCTGCTTTCGTTGGCAACATTGAAGCTCTGACGTCACAAAACACAAAGCGAGCACAGCGAGCATTTCTGCTTCGTCGTTCGCCCGTTCACCTGCGAGTGAACGCCTCAGCGTGCTTCATTATTGTTGTTGCGCTCGACTTGTTTCATGGTTGGGTGAGATTTTTGTTGCGCGGTTGGGTGCCATAACCACCAGGCAGCACATGCGAGCCAAGACATGACGTTCCACACTTTTCCGCGAGACGTGCAGTGACGAGCAAAGTGGATTGTCGGCGTGCGTAGGGACTAGGTACCCATCATGATCGAGATCCCGCTTATGCAGCAATCATATCACAGAATAGAGCTACAAGCTGAGCTCGAAGCGGACAGAAGGCTCGTAAGCTGAGGTGTGATGCTGTGCCAACGATATTAAACTACGTCTATCCACTCCTCGCTCAAATCGGATCAATCAATTTGATTATGCAGCGAAACCGAAACCAACAGCTAGGCCATCTGGAAACGATGCCAGGGGTGCTATGTTGAGCTTTTTGGACTCCCAGGAGACTAGGGAGAAGGAAGTGACGTCAACGACACAGCAAACGCAGATTGGGTGTTGATTTCGTTTTCTTCTGTCAACATCCAATCTGCGTTTGCTGTGTCGTTGACGTCACTTCCTTCTCCCTAATCTCCTGGGAGTCCAAAAAGCGCAACATACCACCCAGAAGTTGTATTTAGCACGCGTGCAGCCCGATTCTGATCGATCCGCGATTCACCAAGCTCGTCCAAGTCAAGTAACGACATGCATTTCAACGATTCGCCGTTTGCCTTCGACCCGCGGACATCGCCTCTGAGGGAACGACCCGTAGTCTCATCACCGATTCAGTGGATCCGCCGAAATGTGTAACTAGATGAGGTGCCGCTTCAGAGGCGAAATCTGCATTTTTTGCTTTGCAATCAAGGACGATAGAAGCGTAGGAGAGGGCATGACGCGAGCCGCGTAGCCTCCACAAGCAATGCTCCCTTGACGCCTCGCCTCTTTCTCATTTTCCTCCTTACTCTCCTCACTTGTCAGCCCAACATGACCACATCACGTGACCATAGCTAGTCTTCGTCTAAACTTCGATCTGATAAGATCTACCGGACGGAGAGCGCGCAAGCCCGAAAGGAATCATAAAATCATCCATTCATCTCGCACGTGACATGTCACGCGCACCAATCGCCAGAGAGACCTGCCGTCACGTTGGGCACAATATCGTTGAAACGTTTTTTGACTAGGCTTCACCAATATTGCAACGTACCCCCTTCAGTATTTATAACCTCCTTGTTTGCAAGCGCTTTTAGTTCGATCGGTGGCCGCAGCAATTGTGTTTGCGCGAAACGGCATACGTTTGCTCGAAGCTTATGGCTGTTTGCGAGTAATATCCTGCTAAAAGGCATGACTTTTTTTGACATGCTTGATAACTGCATTAAAAGAACCGTATTTCAGTAGGGTACACAGCCTAGGAGACTATATAATTCGAAACAAAATACAAGACATCCGTCGACCAACGCTCGTTATTCCGACCGTCCGAGAAACCTTTGCGTTCTGTGACTTCATGCAGCACCTACGGATGTCAGGCATTGGCACTGGCGAAATTCGGGGTGCAGTTTCGTACATACGCTCATGAAAGGTTTAATTAATAACGGGAGATCATATATCAAAATAAAAATTACGGTTGTCTAGATGAAGGCTCCTTCAACGTAACGAGCGCAAAAACTTAAGTACTTCCGGTTTCGACCGGACAATTCCTTTAACAGTCGCAATCCAAATACCTATAAAATACGGCATAAACAAAAGAAAATCTGTTAAAGTGAATCCGACACCCCTTCAGGCTTAAGCCCCTTCATGTTTCAAGAGTAGCGCAAGGTGCGTTGATGCTTGAGACACGCGGAGTGTGCAGCCCTTGGGAAGATCATGGCGGCACAGCGCAGCACTGAGCTAGACTTCAGACGCCATGTTGTTCCCAGAAGTGACGCGCGGCACGTGTTTTGAGCATTTCCACAATGAATGGCGCCACTTTTTCCAGGAAGAGTGGCTTCAGTTCAGGCGTCCCGGCCACGGTGTCCCGGCCGAGCTGACGTGACCTGTTCCCAGCCCAGGGGGGTAAAGGTGGGTGAGGAGGAGTGGCAAATCCCGCGCGCCGACATCCTGGGTCCCGAGTGAAAGATCGCAAAAGCTCGACTCCAGCAAAACGGACGCCACCAAGCGGAAAAACCAGGGACCAGCCGGACCAGGTCGCTTCGTGCCCCTCCGCGTCTCTGGTTGCTTTTCTCGGACACGTGTTGTCAGCGCGGTGGCGAACAATGTAATTTGACGAAGGTCCGAAATTTTCTTAAGTTTGCCTGAGTGTTCATTAGTGCGGTGAAGCCTCAGTAAATTGTTTCCTTCCATCACGTGTTTGAAAGCCCGTTTACTTCACAACACACGGCGGCGTGCTTTCGATTTCTTGGATGGGGAGGAATCACGGAAAAACGTTTTGATTTCTTGTCTGTCTCGAATCACATTTAAAGTTACGACTACTTGGCAACTGATAAGTGGTTTCTTCAGAAGGATGTAGAACAGTACACTGAGGATGGCAGAGGAGGCGTTTCACTGGAGGGAACACCAATGTTGCAGTCAAGTGAATGGGAAGGTCCAATAGTTGCTTTTCTTGAGTTTGGTTGTGTTTGATTAGCTTCAAGTCTGAGTCACCCACGCCGGTCGGTGCGTTGGCCATTCATCTTGGCTGCTTTTCGTCAAAAAAGTCTCTGGACCACACTGAAGGAGTTGGGCTGATTTCGCAATTACTTGATTCAGGAAAACCTGCTTGCTGCATATGATTAATATGGGAAATTATCAGCTTACAAAAGGTGGGGGACGCGTCTCGCAAAGTTAGAAGCCGTCACGGCATTATGATCTATCGCGCCTCCAATATTTATATTATACCCCCGTCGAAGCCACCAGCAATATACGTCTACATTGCTCAGGCTGACCAGCCACAGAAAATATTCATTTTCTCCGTTCAGGATTCGAAGTCAAGTTCAATGCAGAGAGGTTCTGCGTGAATCTCCGATGAAGAGTCTCTTCAGTTTGTCCGCATTCGTCTCCGTGCTACCGGCTAGAAACATTTGGCTCATTTTTGAGTAGTATCTCCGTCTGTCAAATATTATTCAGCAATTCACCTAATAGCTAGTCAACTAAGCTCATATTTCAACCCGAAGAATACACTAATATCGGTTTAGTGAAAACCATTATACGTAATATAATACATAACCCGCTCGTCAAAATGACTCCTCGATTGCTACTAAAATCAGAATTGAAATACGAGTATTAGCTGCTTAGTGGGGTGCCAGTGGGTTAAAATGCTCCTTGGCTCAAGAAGCGCTTGCTTAATTTTCGTAGTTTTCCTGCAGCCTGTGTTGTTGACCGAGCAGACGACTGGGGCTGTTTCTTAAACGCGGATACGCACAAAAGCTCGATTTCGTGGACAGATAAGTCGCATGGTCGAGGCATGCGAGTTAGCTGAAAATTGCCGTCGGCGGAACAATTCTGTAGTCATCGCCGCTTTCCTTAGATGATCAGAACTGATTAGAGTCTATTACCGCCTATCCGGAGCCCATAGTTTCGGTTTTGAACGAAATCTCCGAAACAAAAGTTTGACATAAAAAGAACAAAAACACCGGGAAAACAAAACTATGCTCTGGAAGTTTATGTGCACCGGCTACACTTAACTGGCTCAGTTCAGATACCTATAAAATTGGGCATGAAACAAAAGAAAATCTGTTAAATTGAATGCGCCACCCGTTCAGGCAGCCCGGTCGAGCTGACGCGACCTGGACTCAGCCGCCATGTTTGGAGTCGCCTGTCAGTTCCGAGCACTGGCAAGCTGAAGGGTGAGGCATGACCTCCGAGATCCCGAAGTGCGCGAACGCTTCTCCGGCCGTCCCATTCGTGCGGAGAGGGCGCAATCGAAAAAAAGAGAAGGAGTGCTCATTCTAGACTGGTAAAAGGGGGGGGGGGGGGGGGGGGGGGGGGGGAGGGGGAGATCATTAATTGACAGTGCACTGAAAAAATCTTGTTCTCATTGTGTTGGTAACGCTTTCGACGTTCAAACCAAACGTCTACTGTCAGCGGGTTATTGA